AACTTACAGAACCAAGGGAATTAGCAGCTACTCTGGTCATCAAAATCGCCACATTTGAACCGCATAGACAATATGTGGGTAAGTCATTACTCGCCGAATCAACTGTCTACATGCCCTACATCAAAACTGGACCAAATTGGACAATTTTGGAGTGATGCCTGGAATATTATTCCAGATTGAGCTCTTAAAACCTATCCCAAGGAATGCCTTGCCGCTTGAGAGCGCTGGTAACAGACAGAAGAGGCCAGGCGTAACAGCGACCGTTACTATGACTAGACATTGACATGAGGGTCTTTTGTGGAGCGTGTAACTCTTTTACAGACGATAATTTGGAAAATATGGAGATCCAAAATATCTCTTTTAATGGATGACACAGAATAGGCAATGCATTTCTGTTTGCTTCAATGTCGGATACAACCAATGAGCTGATGTCACCATGACATCAAAGAGATCATTTAAAGTTATTAAACCACGATTTTAATCCTTATTTTCATTTATCAGTCAGCAAAATAGGAAAAAAAAACTATGAAAGATGACTTAGAAAAAATATTCCTTATTAAATGTCAAGTCTGTATTTTGACACACCTTTGAAGATCTACATTACAGTTGTAAAAAACAATCCGAGCTTTCGGCCCTGGGCCTTCTTCAGGGATTCCTATCAGTAACGTATGTATCGATACATACGTTACCGATATAGAAGTATATATATTTATGCATCTTTGAAGATCTACATTTAAGTTGTAATTTACAATCCGAGCTTTCGGCCCCTGAGCCTTCTTCGGGGATTATGAACAAAAAACAACTTAAATGTCGATCTTCAAAGATGCACAAATATATATACTTCTATATCCATTAAGATCTATGCGGTGAATTACAAATGTATCATGAATCATACGTTACTGATACATACGTTACCAAATTGCGCGTTGATTGTTGTTGTTTACGTTGTTGTGTCGGCGCAACTATGTGAGTGCGTGAGACGTCATGTATGCGCGCACGTACCGGTATGTTTCTGCTTTGCACATTCCTCTTTGTTACATTGTCATAACGAGTTTGATAGCCATCGATATATACAGTACGTTAGAAATGGGACGGAAGTTGTCTTCAAAGGATTTGTATGCATCATGTGAACAATTTTTACAAATCCTTTGAAGACAACTTCCGTCTTTTGTCCCGTTTCTATTTTATTGTAACGTAATGTGCAGTAAAAAATTAGGTGTTGGCTGACCAGAAGTTGGAGGCAGCTACCAGTTATTAAAAACATAGGTAACGTACGTATCGATGGATATCAAACTCGGTATGACAATGTAACAAAGACGTATCGGTAACGCAGTGGCGGATTTAGAGGGGGGGGGTCAGAGGGAGTCAACACCACCCCCCCCCCCCTTCGATTTCTGAAAAATATATCGCACCAATATTCCCCTCTTGAAATTAGACTTTTGACTAACTAAATTATAGTTCTAAAATGAAGAAAAGGGCAGTGTTTGGTCTCCAAAACACCTCTCCTTCAGCAGGCCCCGAACCCCACATGGCAAGGGGGCGATAGTCGGCACTTAAACAGTCGGCAATTAAACTCGAGACTAAATGTGACATCTTTGGTACCACATCATGCCTAAGATTTCTATTACACTATTTAAATATGAATTTAAACATATAGGCCTACCATTTGAGTAAAAATAACTATCACTTAAGCAATATTGGATTTTCCAGAAAAAAGGAGTGACAGTAGGCCTATAGTTGGTAGTATTTTGGGGTTCTGGGGTGAAGCCCACCGACCTCCTTGAATATATATATATATACATTACAACACATCCTGGATTCTAGTAGGCCTACTAAAATTCACTCAAATAGGCCTAATTAATGTAGGCCCCCTATCACATTTTATTTCCCTGTAGGCCTACCTATGATTCTATATGATGTGATAATTAAGTATCAAATGAATTTTTTTCCAAAATGGATACTTTAAGGTGTGCACTCTTCTGAGTTTAGACTTTGCACGATTGGATATCAGAAGTCCAGTGCTGTGGGTTGATATCGTTGTTTTCGTTACACACTTACTGCGACGCGTCGCGGGTGAGCTAATGACCGCCTATATCGACTCTTGATAGGGACGACTGGGCGTTTCTGTTACAAAGTTCCTGCGACACGTAGGCGAGCTAACAACAAACCCATATCAACGTGCAACGAATTACCTTACTGCGACACGACGGGCCTATATCAATTACAAATGGGACGAGGCGGTCGGCATTACAGAGCGTTGACAGCGTTCCTACTTTGCAGTTGACGCCGGCCAGCCAACTCTGGGTCGATCTCGATTTTGTTTCCTTTAATCACTTGCAAGTAATCTAGATGAAAGCAATAATTAAGCTTCTAAATAGATAGACATGCGCCACTAATTATTTCTAAACAGCTACGATGTGTTGTCCTCTTACAACACTAATATTCCAATAAATAAAACACTTTATTTACCCAGAATTTCAATTCTGTTCTGTAGGAGTTATTCACCGAGAAAATGTGCAACTGTGTATTCGCCGAATTTAAAAAGATTAAATAATCGTAATATTATTAGTCACTCGATTTTTTTTTGCTTGTTTAGTCAATTTGGAGACAAAATAATTAATTAATGAGTTGTGATTTGGCTAAGCAAATAATACAAAATTTTTTAGTGCTCTGCTATAACAAGGAGTTACAATAGAGTAATTGTTGTAACTCCGGGGGCGTCTCGATAGNGGTGAAGCCCACCGACCTCCTTGAATATATATATATATATATATATACATTACAACACATCCTGGATTCTAGTAGGCCTACTAAAATTCACTCAAATAGGCCTAATTAATGTAGGCCCCCTATCACATTTTATTTCCCTGTAGGCCTACCTATGATTCTATATGATGTGATAATTAAGTATCAAATGAATTTTTTTCCAAAATGGATACTTTCAGGTGTGCACTCTTCTGAGTTTAGACTTTGCACGATTGGATATCAGAAGTCCAGTGCTGTGGGTTGATATCGTTGTTTTCGTTACACACTTACTGCGACGCGTCGCGGGTGAGCTAATGACCGGCCTATATCGACTCTTGATAGGGACGACTGGGCGCTTCTGTTACAAAGTTCCTGCGACACGTAGGCGAGCTAACAACAAACCCATATCAACGTGCAACGAATCACCTTACTGCGACACGACGGGCCTATATCAATTACAAATGGGACGAGGCGGTCGGCATTACAGAGCGTTGACAGCGTTCCTACTTTTGCAGTTGACGCCGGCCAGCCAACTCCGGGTCGATCTCGATTTTGTTTCCTTTATTCACTTGCAAGTAATCTAGATGAAAGCAATAATTAAGCTTCTAAATAGATAGACATGCGCCACTAATTATTTCTAAACAGCTACGATGTGTTGTCCTCTTACAACACTAATATTCCAATAAATAAAACACTTTATTTACCCAGAATTTCAATTCTGTTCTGTAGGAGTTATTCACCGAGAATATGTGCAACTGTGTATTCGCCGAATTTAAAAAGATTACATAATCGTAATATTATTAGTCACTCGATTTTTTTTTTTTTTTTTTTTTGCTTGTTTAGTCAATTTGGAGACAAAATAATTAATTAATGAGTTGTGATTTGGCTAAGCGAATAATACAAAATTTTTTAGTGCTCTGCTATAACAAGGAGTAATTGTTGTAACTCCTTGGCTATAATAACTCCAAAAACCTGTAAACAAGCCAGGCAATCAACCAATCTAGAACAAAATATATAACCCTAAACATACTATATAAACTCCTTTAGCCTCAGTGGGCACCAACCCACTGAAGGCATAGTCTAACCATGGAAGTTTCCATTGGTCTAACTAAACCCGCTCAAACAGTGGGATCTTTCACAATTGTAAAATAGGACACATATCAGTAGGACACATACTGTCGATGCGGAGTGATATAACGTCGTTTTCTCGCGCCAGGACGTAACGTCGGGCTCAAATTTTGTAAAAAATTAAACTTGGTCGAAAAATGGCTATATACTTTAAATAAATGCATACTTAGCAAGTCTAATACGATATTATGATTGTGGGGTATGTAGACTTCATATTCACGTAGCCTTCTACTGAAATGTTGTCGTTTAGAGTGAGCTTGCGTTCGTCAAAGTCGCACTGAGCGGTAAAATTTGACCTTGGCAACATCGTAACTTTGGCCACTATTCCTCAACTAGAGAGTGTGCGGGAAATTCCGGATAAGAGATAGCGTATCTTTAAATCAATATTGTATGTATAAAAAATCATTAAAATCCATCTTTGGAAAAAATTGTTGCAGAATTTTTTGTACCAAAAATCGTGCAAAATCCAGGTTTTTGCGTCATCCATGACCCAAGACGGGCCCAACTCGGCGTTTGTTTACATTTGCATATGTACTTTATTTTGGCGATTATCACCAGTTATTTGGGATATTATTACAGTTTTCAATTGATAGTCAAACATTGCGTGTCAGTTTTATATCTAACTTGTAAATTTAATATTGTTGCACCTTCTTTTTCTATGCCCTACTAACGGTACATGTACCTTGCATATGTTTCAATGTAGGTAATTGAACATTTCTGAGTCCAAAACTTAAGTTTAAAATAAAACAAAGTTGTTTTTCTTTATTTTGCACAGACAAATTCATCGTTTCTTAATTGAATATTTTAAAGGGTTAACAACTGTTTTTATGAGATTCACATTTAAGAATAAATAGTGTAAAGAACCCATAGGAANCGGGGCCCTTTAGCGGGCCCCAGATCCTACGCCAAGGGGGGTGGGGGTTTGCAACCGCAGACCCCCCTTCAAATAATCTTGGATCCGCCCCTGTACATGTAATTCACTATACACTTATACAGCGGGCCTACATTCGGACTATCGAACCTTCGGACTATCGAACCTTCGGACCAATGAACCTTCGGACTATCGAGACGCCCCCGCTCAAACAGTGGGATCTTTCACAATTGTAAAATAGGACACATATGGATAGGTGGCGGCACATTCTGTGTTGACGTGTGCTTGAAGAAAGATGGCAGCCCGCATGAAAGGGCTGCTGTTAACTATGTTTTTAGCTTCACTTCACTTATCTCAATCCCAAAAAATATCTAATCTTCGCTTGTGTGCTGATCCTAACTGCGAAGGTGAGTGTACTAAGTTGAGTGACTGGATTGAACCTTTTAGTTTGTCTAAAGCAGTAAAACTTATAGCATCGGTGAGTGACTTTGGTGGTAACTGCTATATATATACAGTCCAGTGGGTTCTCGGAGCTCAACACGTTCATTTTACTGTTAATTTTACTGTGTCCCAAGAAGCCCGGACACCCCATCTAAGAAGCGATGCATGAAGGAAACTGTTGTTAGTCGTAATACTCTAAATGCACTCACACCTCTTTCATAACTAAACCAGAGTGAATGAGTTAATTTGCATCGGGTTTGCATCTGGTGAATAGTCAGGTTTTCCTTTAACACGTACCCCACCGTAATATAAATCTTTGATGTAACAATACTGTGGGTTAGTTACAGAGCATTTCTTCTGCAAATATAGATAAAATTGCTTCTGATACTCAGTATATGAATTGCTTTGTCCTCCTGTGTGTGAGCTTGGGTAAATTGTGGGTTATTTCACTTAAAAAGAGTATGAACGCATCCTTAAAGCTTTGCAGCATAGCACCTAGGAAGTAGGCCATGCTGCAGGAGGTGCTTGCCTTTTTACTGGGAACCCTATTTTCTTGTACCACCCTAGTCTGGATACCCACACCGGATATTATCCCAAGATACCTACAACAGTGGCCAACAGATACTCCCTTCCCTACTAATTTTCTTTGCAAAAATGAGTTCTGTGCAGAAAAAATCCCCTCCCCCCCCAAAAAAAAACAAAACAAAAAAAACAGAGGTCTATTGAATNCCCCCCCCCCCCCCCCCCCAAAAAAAAAAAATTAAAGATTAGTAGTAATAATAATAATAATAATGACTCCATATCTCTAAAGTTTTTTAGTAGACTCCCCATTTTCCCTAAGGCAAAATTCCAAAACTACCCTTGTGGAGTCGTGTCCCATGGTGTTATAATATTGGCCAGGAACAAAGTTGAAAAATTCTTCTAGAAAGAAGACCCCCAACCATGAAAAATCTATTCCCCACAGTTTTAACTTACTAGTACTAGACTTACTTACTAGTATCAGAGGTGAAACAAAAGTGGTCATGATACAGCACCTCTTACTGAACACTAAGGGGACAATGACTGGTGTAATACAAAACCTGTTTAACCAATAGTAGAAAAGTGAGAAAACTCAGAAAGTGCAAATAGAATTTAAGAATGCAGTAGATTACATTACTTATGAATCTTTGTCAAAAGTCTTCTGACCCACTGGCTTTTCTAGTCTTCTGTGTCTAATATTGAAAAGTGAAGTGAAACAAACATTTTGGGTATTGCTGCATTTTTTTTCAAAACTTTAAACTTCCCAATAACCAATCTCCTGGCATCTTGGTTAATTTAGTCAACAAATATACAGTATCTGGTAAAAATTATCCTGTACAATGTTGTTGTGTGAAAACACTTTAAAAGCAGTTTTTAAAAGTTTGTATTAAAAAGGTTTATGGCTGATGTTTACAGCTGAAAGTTTGTATTAAAAGGTTTACTACCTGAGCAAATAAAAGCAGAGAGTTGCAATGTAAAAAATTAAAAAGGTTGTGAGCTGGATAGAAACCCTTTTATGATAGACACTGCCATATTTTTTAACCTCTCAAGATAAATAGATTGAATAGGAGTAAGATTTGTCCTAATAATGCCACTTGCCATCTCATGCAAGACTTGCAATTTTTTATTGTAGGATATACTCTTATTTCTTCTACATTTATGATATTGAATGAATTTTGTATGTCCTTTCATCTTAATTGTGAAAAAAAAGCATGGACGGAGAACATGCAGGAAATTGCTTATGGATATCTTTGTTGATATTGAATTATTTATACAGTTTATAGCTTCTAAACACTTGAGTGCAAGCTGAAGGATGTGCTTGATGTCTAAAGCTGTTGCAATCAATATCTTGTAATTTACTACAAGTAAATAAATACAGAAAATAAGACCAGGATGGCATAAAAGATGTTGGGAGGCCCCATCTTTAATACATTAGTAAGTCCTGTTTTACCATACACAAAATTCCCTTTTTCTCTTATTTTTTTATGAAGAGACATCATGTCCAGAAATTCAGCCATCACCTGCCTCTATTATCATCATTAGAATTGCCAGCTTCAGTCTTATCCAGTTAACATAAGTTATTATTCTCAAAGTAACATTTGACAGCTTTGCTGCCTTGTTAATGCTTCATTTACTATTTCCTTTCTTTCTGGAGGGATGTTGCATATATATACCTTGATACCTTGGATACATCTGCCACATCTTGCTGAATAGGCACTGATTATGATGGAAGTTAATTATCTACCACCATTTTCATATCACCTTTTGCTCCCTGGTGGCATTTTGTAAATGAGTCTTTCTCATTAACTTATTTATAAACGTGCTTGGCAAAACAGGAAACTTCCGAAAGTAAAATTACACAGCATACACAAATCATTCTTATGGATTATTCATCATTTAAAATTGTATTGATTTGTTGGGTTTCAAAAATGATGAAAAAAACTTGGACTGTTAGTGTCACCTGTATCATCTCAAAAAGCATATTTTTCATTGGTTTGCGGGTACTATTTCTCTTGAACGTAATTTGTGATGAAAATTGTGAAAAAACTTACACTGTTATCTGTATCAACTCAAAAAGCACATACTATTCATTGATTTGCAGGTACTATTTCTCTTGTACGTACATTAAGAAAACATAATCCTAAAGAGCCAGGATTGCTGTCATTCCAACCCAACCATGTCATCAGAGTAACTAGTAAATCTGCTGGAAATAGGCCTGAATTCTGGGGTGGAGAGGTAATCATTACAGAAATTCTTTCATTTTGTGGTGATTTTGGAGTTTCCAGACATTTTTTGTACAGTGTAAATGTAATGTTATACCTGTGAGATCTTACCTGTGTATTTTGACTTTGACAGTTGTCTCTTTTTTTTTTCAATAAACATTTTGTCAGTATGATTGAGCATTGCTGATAGAATACATACATTTCAATTAATGCTTTTCTTCTTCTGCAAGATGTCTTAAAATGTCAGTGACTTGGCATTAACATAACAAAAAAAGAATTGAAAACTTACTCAATTTCAGATCAATGGAAAGTTTGGTTACTTCCCTCGTTCCTTTGTAACAGAATATAAAGTTTATGTACACAATCCAGAGCATGTGGTTCATACTGAGGTAAGGTCCTGACGTTCACATTATCTCGCTCTTTTTTTAAAAATTATATATATATATACTTATGGCCTTTTGAGATAAGGTTTTAATACTGCAGACTTAACCAAAGGATAATATAACTAATTATGTAATAATTATAATTTTTAAGGTAGTAACTGATACAAACTGTATCTAAAGGCACTTTTAAGTACACATTGCTTTAACAGGAGCAGCAGCCACCTCAAATAAATGAAGCACCCCCAGTGCAACCTGATCAGTTGTCAGACCAGCCTTCTACCGGAGCTGACCAACTTCAAACAAGTGACCCACAGCACTCTGTACATACTGGACAGGACCATGCTAAACAACAACAACAGCATCAACAACAACAACCTGACTCTCACTCTGATGCAGTCCAACTAAATGAAGGACATGAACATCACAGTGGTCATCAGCAGCAGGCAGAACAAGGGACTTTTGATGATATTGTAGCTGCAGAAACACAACGTAGGCGTCAGGAGGCAGAATTGGTGAGACAGCAGTTGTTGCATCAACAAGAACAGAAAAATCAACAGCAGCAAAGTAACTCAGACTTAGATCCAGGAAATGCACAACAGCAACAGGATCCAGTGGAGCAACAGCAGCAACATCAACCAGTACAGCAACAGGATCCAGTGCAGCAACAGCAGGAGGATCCATTGCAACAGCAGCAACATCAACCAGTACAGCAACAGGATCCAGTGCAACAACAGCAACATCAACAAACAGTACAGCAACAGGATCCAGTGCAGCAACAGCAGGAGGATCCAGTGCAACAGCAGCAACATCAACCAGTACAGCAACAGGATCCAGTGCAACAACAGCAACATCAACAAACAGTGCAGCAACAGCAGGAGGAAACAGTACAACAGCAGCAGCATCAACCAGTTCAGCAACAGGAACATCAACAGGACCCAGTACAGCAACAGGAACAATTCCAGCAGCAGCAAAAACTTCAACAAAATTCATTGCATCAACATCAAGATCCATCACATCACCAGCATGAGCAACAACATGATCCATTGCATCAACAACAACAGCAGCACACGCAGCAGGATCAACAGCAGGACCCACTGCAGCAACAACAGCAGCAAGGTAACAAAGAGCAGCAACAACAAAATGAGGATGATGAAGAACAATATGACAGTGACACAGAATATGATGATGAGGAAGAAGATGGAGAGGATGAGGATGAGGAAATGAGAGAAGAAAATCAAAATGGTAATGAAGAATATGATACAGAACTACCTGAAACAGAGCCAGGTAATTATAATCTAAATAGTTTTTATATGTCTAATATTTTCATGTAAAACCCCACAAATCTGATTTTTCTTTCCCTGCTTATTACAACTATATATTTTTTTTCTTTGAAAAAGTATAAGAATGAAAAAGCAAATATCAGCTTTACTGATCTTGAGTCAGAATTATTATTCATATAATTTGCTCAAAGACACTTAATAAAATAGTAAATATATTGGTAAGTAATAGGTAGTTAATATCCCCATAAGTTACAATTATTATTGATAAGAATTTTTGTCTGTATGTTTGTATGTGTGTGTATATGAGCACACATACTTCAATGTGTGTAATATTCAGAAATGTTGCTTTTCGTCTATCCAAGCTATTTTTAAAAATTATTTTAGACACAACCACACCTTCAGGTGATGTAAGAGAGGAACCTGGAGAGCCAGAGGAGACTCAGTCTGACACTCATCAGACTGAACAACAGGTTTGTTGTAGCAGTGTGCCCAGTATATAAGATTTTTTGGACCATTAGTTTATTGCCAAATAAAGATCAATTAGAGGGTGTTGAGAAGCAATGCTGAGGGTAGAGGTAATACTGTTAACTGGGTTGTTTCAAAGCAAGTGCAGTCATTTTGTCTCCTTCACATCACATAACCATGACTGATACCTGGAATAAATTGCACAGAAAGTGGAGAGATGGCTATCTTCATCATAATTTTTTTTGATACATTTGTAGAAAAGTGATTATGTTTTATACCATTACTTATTTCACAATTTCTTTTAAATGTTCTAACATGGTGGTTGTAGAAATTTATAACTTTCCTTTATGACATTTTACATTCTTTAACACTATCTTAAGCCACTGCTTTTATTAACATGTTTATCCTAGCTTCTGCTAAAACAAGAAATATGAACAAATATCTGTGGGATGTGGTGACGTTTTAATCTATTACACTAAGCAGGTTGTAAAAATGCTGCCACAGTATGACCTTGGGTTCTATACTACCAAGTTGAATTTTAAATTTGATTGCCATTGTTTTTTCTTCTTTGAGGGAAATCCTTCACATTTAAAACAATATCTGAGGTGCCGTGATGTAATATGATGTTTTCTTGACATGCTAAATAATTTTTCTTGTGTTGGTAGAAGCAGTGTGACACTTTCTTTTTTATGTTTTGAGTGGCTTTATGTTTATATCTCCCCTCTAGCCTGAAGCTAAAGGGCTATGGAGCTCACTTACATCAATGTTCTCTTCAGAGGAAAAGGTAAACAGTTGAACAGTCTATACCTGCATGCTTTCACACTTCCTAACTTGAGCTCATGCTTTTAGCATAAAATATTCATGTGGTGTTTGGGTATGAATGAACATATTGATGTGATATAATTTTTTTCACATAGAGAAATTGTTTTTATCTTATTAATAAATAGATTTTATGGTTTACTGGCTAACACTTGGAGATGAAAAACACTTGAATTCATATCTACAAATGAATATCACACTGTATTCTCATGGCAGAAAATACAAAGTGAAAACTAAGTTTGAGATTATTGAATTATCTCAGTAATTCAATAATCTCATAATTATTGAGTTATCTCAAAAACAATTTAGTGTTTCATGTGTTTTGATACAGTTTGAAGAAAGAGATCATTTAAATGGAAGGCTTATATCAATAATTTTGTTATTTTCCTAGAAACAAGATGAAGTGCAAGAGACTCAAGATTTAGCAACAGGTAGTTCAGAATTTAAGAAACTTTTTATCTGCCAATTGCACATTTGTAATCAATGGCATTGAATCAGGGCCAGTTTGACACTGAAAAAATGAAGAAAGTAGAGAGGGAAAGTTTATTCATGCAGTTTGAATTTAAGAATAACTAGATGTTCCCATTAGAGGAACGTGGGTACTCTCCTCACTGCCAAAATTTTATAAAGATGTACGTATGGATGATCTGTTACACTTTTAAAGATGATGACCATGACCCTAATGAAGCATTAGAACGCCTTAGAGAAAAGCACTTGCAACATGGAGAAACAGTGGAAGAAGAATATGCAGAAGAGCATGTAGACCGTAAGTTAACAAATTTTAACCAAACAAGTTTAAAGATTCTAGTGACTATGTTGTATGTTAAATCTCATGTAAAGATGTACCTGCCTTCACTTTGAGTAGGCCTACAAAGTATAGACCTTATGTTTAGTTTAGGGGCCTGATACAAATTGCATATGCCTTTGCTTGCACTTGGGCAGAAATACCCTTATTTGTAAATAAACAAAATATTCAAGTAAATCACATTTTCTCTTTTTAATGTGGTTATTGATATTGTTTACCTTGATCAATAATTATGTAATTTCTAAATTAATGTAAACTAGTGGGAAATATTTGCTTCCTTAGATTTGAATGCAATACTGGAAGAGAAAACCAAAGAACCGGAAATTCATAAAGGTTCACATGAGAGTGAGAAAGGTATGTGTCTTAGAGTTTGTTTAATGCCAGTAACATGCAGTAATTTAATTAAACAGTTTTTATCTTTAGTTTGTCAGTAAATAAAAAACATAAAAATTAAATTCTTATAAATGTGCATTAAAAAACCAAATTTAGAAAGCACATCTTTTAAAAAAGCTTTTGTTCCCTTCTTAGAACCTGTACCAGCAATGGAAGAAACCAAGGAGACAGGTGGTCAAGAATCAGATACCCAGCCTGACAGTACAGCCACTAAGAGTGAGCCTGCGGAAGAAAACAGTGTGCATGATACTGAATCCCCTGAGCGAACAGAACCAGATGACACCCCCACTATTACTGTATCCACTATCACTGGAGATGCATTGGTTGTGGATGACTCTTCTGCCACACCTACAACACAAATTATTGTAGAGCAACCAGTTGTTGCTACAACACCCACAGTTGAAGTACTGCAGCCTCAGGAACAACAAGAAAAGCAGCAACAGCAAGAACAGCAGCAGAGAAAACAACAGCAAGAAAAGCAGAGTGAGGAACCAAATCAACAACAACAACAGCAGGAGCAGCAACAACAACAGCAACAACACCAGGAGAAGCCCATAGTTACAGAAACAACCCCCATTGTTACACCACCAACACAAGAGGAGAACACTGCCACTGTCCCCCCAGCAGGAGATGCACAACCAATCATACCTCCACCAACTTTACAAGATGGTGAACAGAAACCAAACCAGGACAAAGAACCTCAAGAAGCAATAGACAACACAGGAGCAAAAGATAATCAGAGAGAAGACAAATCATCTCAACAGGGTCAACAGCCACTTGAACAGGTCCAACCATCTCAAGGCAGTCTGCCGCCTCCGGAAGGTCATTTACCTGAAGAAGGCCAACAGCCTGGAGCAAGTCAAGAGCATCAAGCAAGCCATCAACCTGAAGTTCAGCCACTTGATGGGAGTCACCAACCTCAAGAGGATCTACCTTATGAGGAAGAAAGTGAGACTGAGGAGGAAGCCAGCATTTCTGAGTCTTCAGACAAGTCTGAGCCCTCATCAGTTGAAGAAACAACACCTGCCCCACCAGAGGCATCTCCCTCAGTGCCAGACATTGATGCAGATCAGAAAATACCAGACAAAGCTGGTCCTTTGGAAATAGAGAGGACAGAAGAAGAAAAACAGATAGATATAAAGGATTCAGCTGGTAAAATAGTTGAAGGCACACCTGACCCTAACAAAGGATTTCCTGATCCCACCAAAGAATTTTCTGAAGGTCAAAAGGCAGGTGAGTCTCAAGACAATACACCATCACCCCCAGAAGATGTAGCTGAAGGTATGAAACTGGATGACTCTGGAGCGGATAAGGCGGATATTGAAAAAGATAAAGACAAGCCAAAACCTGAAATGACAAAGGAAGAAGATAAGGAAATAATTAAGGAAGGAATTCTTGGAACTTCTGCTGATGTGTCATCTACTACAACGGAGCAGGACTCAACAACCATCATTGATGGGACCACCATGGAATTGATAGATGGAACACCCATACCAATGGACCCTGATGACCTTTATTTTGCTGATGGTCCATCAAGTCCAAGCTTTACTGAGGCAGTGTCATCCATCAGCATCCAGCCAGTAGAAGAGACAACTGAAAGTGGTAACACTGCACAGGCAGATTTTGCATCAAACAGTATTCAGGTTGAGCCATCTGTATCGCCTCAGGAAGCCATATCTTCTGTAGAACCCCGTGAAAGTAGTGAAGTTGAGGGTAGTCAATCTGAGTTGACAGCTACTTCACCACAGCAAACACAGGGGATGACTTCCCAAGCAACAGTCCTGCATACAACGAGTGGAGATGCTAAAGCAAGTATCATAGACACTCTGAGAGAAACTCCGCCTGAAGGTATCAAGGATACTGCTAAGAAAGAGGAAAAAGATGAGAAAGATAGCACATTACAGGAAACTATTACAAATAAACCGGACACCATTACTACTGTGCCTTCTGTGGATGATGAGATACCAATGCCACCAGTTGAAGCAGTCACACCACCTACTGTTATGATACAAGATGGCACCAGTGGTGCTGGAACCCAGGGAGGAGGTGCAGACCCCCTGGGGATGGGAAGCACCCCTGCCATTGACATTCCATCAAAGAAGAATGACTCTGATGGCCCAACAGCCCCACCTCCCAACCAACCATATCTGGGGGACTTGGTCAAAGAGGAGTACAGGAGTGATGCAGACTTCCTGAACAGAAAACCATTGAATCATAATATTAAGTCGGACACCAGCACTAAAGCAGCACCAATGGGTGGTGATGGAAATGTGCAGGGGACGGACAGTTTGCCTAGGTCTCTACAAGGTGAAGATCAGGCTGGGGCTGCCCCTGAAAAAGAAAGTCTACACAAGCCTCCAACTGGTATTAAAGCTTTAGTATTTGTTGTGATGGCTACCAGTGAACCATTCATGCAGCTTTTGGTGGATTTGGTGAGTGTGTTATTTGTTTGGTTAAAGATTTTACATAATGTAACTTCATATTTTGTTCTGTTTTAATGTGTTTAAGGATGATTTGAAGAATAATTCAAATTAGACAATTTTGGATTCCATTTTGGTATAAAGCAGCTACTACATTTATTTTCAGTGCTGCACTGTCAGACCAATCTTTCTGGACTGTGATCCTTTTATTTTCATTCTTTTCGTACTATAGCTGCCAGATCCAATGAAGGAAACCATTGCTGAGGACGTAGTGGGTCTTCCCCCTACCACCACCATGTTTGCGACATTGGTCACTATTGTCCTATCCATATTTTGGTCTTGTTTGGCTTGCTCTGGGAAGGTAAACAACACCATTATATATATATATGTATCCTTAATATTCTCAACCTAAACAAAAGTAATGCTTTATTGGTTTTGAAAGAGGTTATATATTTTGGTGACCTTACAGATATGAATGCTTTGTTAAACTTCAACTAAAGTAGTTATTAATAATGTATTGTTTTATCTATTTTTAGTCCAAAAGGAGAAAGGAGTTTGACTATATGGGTAAGTAAAACAACCTGTTAAATATTTTTGGTGCTGAACATGAATTTAAAAGAAAGGGTTAGATTTTTTTTTCACATTTTGTTATTGTAGCTGATACCTGTGTGGTATTTGCTGTAGCTATATTTAAAATATGGTTAATAGGTCTTAGCACTGTATAATAACAGTGAAATACAAATCCCCCTAATTGCAGCTCTCACTTAATCCCAGTCTTTGCCTTTATATTATGTGTGAAGAAGAGTGATTTGAACTTTTCCTGTGTCAAATGATACTTGTATTATTTTTCAGCCAAGTATCGGGGGTTGGAAGAAAAGCTTTACATAACTACTAAAGAAAAAGAAAACCTAGAAGAAAGTCTCTCAGAAGCAGAAAAGAAGGTATCTTGATTAATTATATTTCATGTAAAAGGAAAAGAGTCAGTAGGAAATTTTAATTAACAGTTTTACAAATGAATTAGTTTCCAAAGATCCCTTGATTATGCTTATTGTAATTGGTAACCAGATCAACTTTGAGAATGTGGAAATGATTATTTCTGTTTTAGCTAATCCTGGCTGATCAACACATTTTGATGAATCAAAGGGGTTTTTAAGGTTGGAGGAAACAACTCCACATTTCCTTGGAATTCCCATTTCATTGGAAATTTTGATTAACAGTTAGAATGTTGTTTTCGTAAAACTGCAGTTTCTGACAGATTCCCTAATTGGTGTTTTTTTACAGGCGCACAGGCGACCTTAAATAATGTGCACTTTTTCTGTTGTGCACCACTGATTATGTTGTTTTTGTAAAACTGCAGTATCTGAATTTTCAGTCGGTGTTTGAAATAGGGGCACTAAGGTGACCTTGAATTATCTGCACCTGTTCTGCTGTACTACACTGATTATGTTGCTTTTGTTCAACAGGTTTGAGGAAAATTGAAAAGAAAAAATTTAGCTTTTAAAGTGCCTTGAATTTGCCAAGAATTTTAAATTCTTGTTTGGAGAGTGGGTGTTGCACATTTAATGTCATAGATCATATAGATTATTAATGAATGCAAATTACTATTTTGCATGAAAAAACAACACATTTACCTATTTGTACCAATCCACTTGCAGTTAACTGAGAAAGAAAGTTTAGTCAATATTGTAGCAGAAAGTGGTGACAGTCTTCAAGCAGAACTCAACATGGTGCAGGTAGGCTTGCTTTTTGGTTTAATGGTATACCACAAGTGAAATACTTGTGATTCTACATTGAATGCCAGGAATAATAATCACATGTAAAAAAAAGAAAAGAAAGAAACACGCAGGTGAAGCAGGCGACTTCCTCTTCTGCAAAGGCAATCATAAAAATGTTCAATAACTATTATTACTGATTTTAGGACAAGAAAGCTATGTAATAATTGCGATTTGTTTTAGGATAAAAAGGCAATGATAGAATCTCAGCTGAATGTTCTCCAGGAGCAAGTTGAGCAACTCAACCTAACTGTGGAACAGCAGCAACTGGACATTGACTCAAAACAACAGGAGGTGAGACAAGCAGCAACAAAGGGCTTGTATTTTGGGACACGGTAGATTTGTCATTGATTTTAATATTATTTTTATTGATTTGTGCATGTTAATAAATGATAATGAATAATGATGATAATAAACAGTGCAATACAAAGTTTCTTTTCCTTTATTTTCAGAACGCTGTGCTAAACAATCAGATAACACAGACAGGAGAACATGTCACAGCCCTGGAGCACAAGTTAAATGAAGTGAGTTATTCTGAGGTTCAGGTAAAGTTTTCTCTTTTATATATTTGTTTTCAATGAATGCCAGAAACATTATGAGTTTGGTATGTATGTTTGAAATCATATTACTTGCTTGATTAAAATATTTTGATAAAAAAACATTATTTGTGTTTCTGCACATTTTGCTCCAGATGTGTCCTTTTTCATAATACTGAAAGACCTTAACCATTATAATCTTAATGATTTTCATAAAACACTTGTATGTTAAGAAACAGCTGACTTTTTACTTATCTCCAAAGACTGTTTTGAAAACAGAACCTGTTTTCTGTGTTATAGGATTTACATACCATTGATTTGTTTTGAGCTATGAATGACTCTTAATGTGATTTTTTTCAACAGCTTCAAGATTCTCTTAGTCAACAGGAAAGTATGGCCACAGCATATAAAAACCAAGTGCAATTACTTACAGAGGAAAATAATCAGCTTAAGGAAAGCAAGAGCCAGGTAATTGAAATGTTGCCAATAAGAGTATAAGCTTTAAACGAAAATATTGATATTGAAAGAATTTTTGAAGTTTAGTATAAGGTTATGACTATTTTCCATCTTATTTTCAAATTTTTGAAGTAAACCACATGTCACATGTCATGGCTGTGTAAATTGTGAATGTTTTACATATCATGTGGTGAAAGTTTCATAATTATGAATGCCAATTGTTTTTGTTTGCAGTTGCAAGAAGAAGTTGAAGGATGGAATGAAAGGTATTTGTGTATTTTCTTAAAAGAGGCCTGAATTTCAAAGACAACATAACTAAATTGCAAGAAGAATGAACTGAAGTTACTTTTGTGCCAAATATTTAAGTATCATGTATGAAAACTATAGAAAATACTTCTACATGGTATGTTTTTTGTTTTTATAGAGTAAAAGACTTGACAGATCAAGTATCACTTCTTCAAAAGGAACAGAAAGAACTACAAGAGAATGTTGCATATAAGGACAATGAATTGGAGGTAAGTCTTTTTCCTTGTGTAACACACATATGTGATGTATACATTTATAACTTTTTGCTGTATTTTATTTACATATTATATATAAAAAGACAAAAGCACTCAAGTACAACAAATGTATGTGTGTGTCTTTATAAAACTTATTGTTGTGCAATCAGAGTATTAATGAAATCATCAAATCATCTCGTTCTTGTAACATTCTTTGTACCTTTGATTTATTGTAAAAGTAAAAATTATAGGTTTGTACTTAAGATTCTGCATTGATCCTCTACCAGGTGCTCAGAGATTGCTTTATGCAAATGAAATCATTGGAGAAGGAGAGAGAAGAGAGAGGACATGAAGAGGAGGATGCAGGAGAAGGCAAGTCCATTTGTTTGTGTGCTTTTCCTGGGATTCCTTTCTAGTAGGATGCAGACGCTTTGTACTTTAACGTCAAGACCATGGATAAAACTGAACCCCTGTGTTCTGTTGATAGATTTGTAAAGCCAAAGTTATAGAGTTACCACCATTGAGTATTAACAATCCATGGTAAATATTTCTGTTTTCAGAATTAGGTTTTTTATTATAATGGTAGACTGGTATTTAGTTTGGGTAAGTGTAAAATATAATATTTCAAAAAGAAATAGGAAAATAATGACTGTCCTCTTAATAAAATTAATGAACTTACACCAGTTTCATTATATTTTAGGACATGAAGATTTGCAGGACAAGATACAAGCTATGATGGATGTGTCTAGAGTAAGTAGGTTGTAGGACAATTTTTTATTATGAGACTTTTTATGTAGCAGCAATGTATTTAGCTCAGTGAATTTATGATTTTGATTGAAAAGTAGATTTTCATTTGAAGGCACTTGGTCCTTTCCATGCTGAATGGAAATTTAATTTTTGATTTAATATCATTCAATAATTATTTGCAGCATTTGGTGTAACAGTTTGTATTTGATGTCTAGCTTAACCTATGGCCTTTACATTATATTGTTAAATTGCTGAGATGTTACATTCAGGCATGTAGACAATTTGCTGCAAGAATTACAGGAGTTTTCATACTAATTAATTGTACATTTTGCCTGACTTTGGTTTGTGTATTCTGATTTGAAAAATCTTCTTTCTTGTGGTCATTGTATTTTGTTGGAAAATGTGTTCTTTTTTAAACATAGGTGAGGGCGCAGTTGCAAGCAGTTAGAGAGGATAGAGATAGTATAGAAAATCAATTAAAAATTGAAAAAGACAGTAGGAAACAATTGGAAGGTACAGGAATAATAGATTGTTTATGCACATCTATTTCAACATTATTTTACATTATTGTCAGTATTTTGAGCTTAAAAAATATTACAAATAAATGAACACATCTTCAGAATAATAAATGCTGCCTAAAAAGTGTTATGCTTTGAGAACATGGATCGCTTTTCTTGTATGTTCATTTTAGAGAGCATATGAAGTTTCATCTCATTTTAACCACTTACATTAAGTTTTGAATTTGATTGCTATTGAATGTTAACCACTATATTATAAATCACCATCTCCTCATTTTTCTATTCCATTTTTATTTAAGATAAAATTGAATCTATGCAAGTTCAGATGGAGAAGTTGAGGGAAGGGCATTACAAAGCAGACCAACAAGGGAAAGAAGCACAGCACAAACTTGATGTATTATCCAATTATTTTAAGGAGAAAGAGATGCAACTTACAAAGTAAGTTTGTCTATAATGACATCTACCACCTACCTTCAGTTTCATTTACACATTTTATTTTAAAAACTATTACTCATTGCAATACATTACTTTGAATCATTTTTTGTTTTCAAAATGAGTTTACATGATCAGAATTTAATCCAGTAATGAGTACATCACATGTAGACATTAGTGGTTGGTACTGTACTAGGTTTGCAACGTAAAAAAAATATACATAGAAGCAAGAATACCAAGTTTGGCATTGGTTTAAAGTCAAATACCTGTGTTATAATTTCAGTTTTCATTAATTTCCATACAGTCATTTACAAGTGGACATTTTAGATTTTTGGGCCATATAATTATTTTAGAATGGAAACCCATTTGATAAAACCTTTATGTTTTTAGAGAGTTGGGTGAGCAGGAGGCCCTCAAAAAGCAAAGTCTGTCTCAGTTGGCCAGTGCTGGAGAAAAAACTGAAGCTTTTGAAAGAGAAAGTGCAGTATATAGGTTTGTAAGATATTCAGACTGTTTTATACTAATGAAATGGTAACTGTTACAAAATCTTTTAGAACATATATGGTGCTGTGTTAATTGTAAAGTGTATAAAATATGGATTGGAGAACTAAATAAATTGTAAAAAGGGGGGAAAACGAAGATTTAGTGAAAAGTAAAAGAAAAAAAAGATCTATGCCAAGCTTATTAAAAAAATACATTATGGCATAAATGACAATAAAGGTTATTTTATTATATAGACAACAGATAAAAGATCTTCAAGCAGAAATAGAAAATGTGGAAAGGAACTTCAGACAACAGGTATTTGAAAATAGCATAGAAGTGTTATATTTATTGTGGATAATGAACCATGTAAAACATCCATAAATACGTAAAAGTTCAAAAAATAAAATAGAAATTTAGGTACTTGGTGTTTTTGGGCTTGTGGTTGTGTGGGTGGGGGGATGTAGCTGCATACCAATGGTTTTGTTGGAACTGGTGGGTAGAAAGGTAGAATTTTAAACTATTTTCAATTATGTTCTCTGTCACGTTTAGTAAATTGTGTGAACTGTTGACTTTCAGATAGCGCAAAATGAGAAAAAGGCCCATGAAAACTGGGTAAGTAATTTGTTAAATTAGCGGTTGGTAAAAAGCACTGATTAATGATTTACAAATATACTTTTAAAACGGAACCTATCATGTTAGAATTAATGTTTGGTTTTGTACCAGAATTGTATATAACTTTAAAATGTTATACTTTTGCAGTTTATTGATACTTATTTAACATTATTTTCTTAGTAAAATATTTATTTATGTCACCCTAGCTTGCAGCAAGAAAAGCAGAAAGAGAACTCCAACAAGCCAAATTTGAGGCAACACAGTACAGGCAAAAGTGAGTAGATTAGATGTTTTATCTAAAGAAATGTGTTGGTATAGATAGGTCAAATTGAAAATGGAAATGGTATTTACTTTATGCTGTATTGTTTGAATATGTTCTGAACTGTGATTCATTACAGGCTTACAGACTTGGAACATAAGCAAGAAGAAACTATGAAAGGATTGATGAGGCCCTTGGCTCTTTCACCAGGTATTTGTGATTAACTAATGTTTGATAGAGCAAACTATTTTACAGGGTTTTTTTCTGGTTTCATTACACAACAAATTTACTAATGCAATTATTTGATGGGTAATGTAATATTCTTTGCAAAAGAATAATGATAATAATAAATACATAAAGAAAGATTGAAAGAATGCAGAATACTACTCACTGAAGATTTATGATGGGGAAATAGAAAAACAAGTTGATGACATCATCACAATGATGCTATCCACAGATTCCATTGTAAACTGCATGAATATGCAAGTCAAAGTTCAACTTGTCATTTTGGTTTGTTTCTATTTAGATGGACCAGTTGGGCCTCCTCCCCCTCCTCATCCTGGTCTGGACAGGCCCTCCCCTGTGTACAGGTGAGGTTGTAGTAGAAACCCATGTACTTTATGTATTATACATTTTTAAAATTTTGGTAGGCTAGTATTGAGTCAATACAAACCTGCTCTATTTTTTTACAGTCTCTATTTTTTCTACAGCCTACAGGATTGTTACCGCAATGAATATATGCATTCGGTTTTACAAAGCATTTCACATTAAAAAAAATGGTTGACAGTGCAGCAAATGAGCAGCTATTGGTAACACATGTTAGTTTATCTTTTTTTCAGAGATGATGGTGTACGAGACTCTCCTCATATGATTCCACCCCCACCAGTGGAGAGAAGGCCTCTCTTTCCACCAGGACCTATGGGGCCGTTACCACCCCCACGTATGCCCCCACCCCCTCCATTTGATCATAGACCCCCACTCCCACCAATGGACAGAAGGTCACCACCTTATGACAGACGGCCTCCTCCTGACAGGAGGTCACCTTTAGATCATCGATCACCTCCGCCATTTGACAGGGCACAGTCACCTCCCTACGACCACAGATCTCCACCACCAATGGATCGCAGATCCCCTCCTCCATTTGATAGGCGTCCACATTTAGATAGAAGATCACCCCCACCATTTAGGGACATGCCACCCCCACCCCCTCACCTCAGAGGACCTCCCCCACCTCTGGGGCGTGACATGCCACCCCCACCATTTGGTCCACCTCCTATGGGACCTTATGGACCACGCCCCCCTCCTCCGCCAGGAGATAGATATGAAGGCTCTAGGTCAACATCAAGACAAAGTAAGTATAGAGGGTTTGTTTCCATCAAACTTAAAGAAAATTTGGAGGATCCACTTTTTGGGGTTACTGAATAATGTTCAATGAAATATTGTAATTAAGGGCTCATAACTCCCTTACAAAAATATTTCAACCAAAATGATGGCACAGTCCGTACTCATGCCAATTTTTATGATAAAATCTTGTTCAAGGATTAAATTAAGTCCCATAGCGATTTGTATCTCCCCTCAAAACAGAAAGCTGTTAAATTGATCATAAACATTCCGAGGTGCTTATGCTAATGGTAAGCAACGGGAAATATAAACCTTGATTTATTAATATTTTTGGGGGAGATTTCATTTTGTTTTTAATCGGCAAAATGGTAGATGCATTGTTGAAGAATTTTGGTGTTTTGATGATCATAAACCGAGTTTGTAACCTTAATATGATATCAGCATTGTGCTGTTATTCAGTTGAATTACTAGTATTGTTTATGAAACAAAGAATTGATGTTAACTGTCAAAATTGATACAGTTCTGTTGCATGAAGAAATGTTCTTTTTCAATTTCAGGTATGCATAGAACATCTACTCCTACAGATTAATGTGTGCCATATGATGGAAAGATTTTGGACTATTACTAGGAAATTCATATGTATATACAGTCATTTTAGTGATGAACATCTTCAAAAAGACCAAGAGTGCAGTCTACAAAAGGATTAAGTCATACATGAATATATCAGTAATTATTACAGACTGCCCAAATTTGTTAATTGTCATATTGAAAAGGCAACTTGCAATCCATGGTCTCTTCCACTTATAATTGAAATAAAGGTGATGTTATAATTGAAATAAAGGTGATTTAGGCCTAACCTTACGTTTTCTAATTGAAAAGTCAGATTTCAAATATGGCTTGAAATCATATTCAATTTGGAACATGATGCCATTCGTCTTCAACTTGAAGGCAATGGTTGTGATTTAAAACAATGTAAATAAGCTTGTTAGTATCATTCATTTGCAGGCACTGTGATGTCTTTATATTGATATTTGTAAATATTAAAAAAACATTAAAGATGTTAAAATTGCATTCAATTTGATGTGTTTGAAGAGTTGCAAGTATGAATTTATATTTTGTTGTGCTTGAACAATGCAAATGCTTGTGTTTTCTTATCATGGTGCTATTATGACATGAAAGGAGAAGATGCAATTGTTCATAAGTTTTGCGTTTTGAAATTTATGATTAAGGTTCGAATTAGACATTGTATTTCTCAAATGAAACTAGTTATTTATTTTGTATCACATTCTCATTATACAAAATAAAATTTTATTTCAATCAGACTTTTTGATTTGTTTTCATATGGTGATTTTTTACAAAGATGATTTTTCGAAACATTTATTAGCCAAGTATACTTATATGAAAATTTTTTATGTCAGCAGGTACCACTTTAAACTTTGCCCAACTGTTGTTTGTTATTTATAGTTATTTATGTCTGATATTACAGTTGCATTTCAGTGTAAACGACAGTTTTGTTAAGGTTAGTTGTTTCTAAAAGAATGTTAAAGAGACTCATATTTTAACTCGGTTCATTTGCTATCCCAGGTTTGGTCTTGCAGACAAAAAAATGAAAAAACTGCTTTACCTATAAATTGCAGAATTGTAGATTTTTTTATGTTTGCAACAGTTTTTCCTTGACTTGATGTTTTTGCACATAACCTGACTGAATTTAAGAACTGTAGCCCACCCTACTTCAAGTTTATCTTCTACATGCAGCTCATTGCACTGGAGATTGCAGTGTTTTTTGCAATCAGACTGCAATGAGTCACATGGAACAAGAACAAACTTGTGTATCTTAATAGAATTGTGCTTTACAGAAACTCCGATTTGTTTTTGTGAGAGGCAGTAACATGACAGTTTCCTGCACGGTAAAATAAATTAAATGCCAGGCAGTCTTGATAAGAGAAGTACTATTATTGCACTGGTATTTTGGACTTTCCACATTTTACATTTTTAAGTATCTTTTAACAACAAATTAAAGCCCTGCAGTTTTGTTATCTTTTAGAAGCACTAACTGCTCGAGTATTCTGCTCTTAATCATATCTTAATCATATGGACATAGCTTTTCCTTTTTTCCTTTGAGCTCAAAACCTTTAGAATTCCTGGACGTGTTTAAGGCCTGTTATAACTATTGAAGCCATCAACTTAAAAAAAAAAAGAAAACACTTGATATTGTTTAACGTTTTGAAACACAAAGGATGGGACTCCCCCTTAAATAAATTTTAAAAAAAATCAACCGACCATAAAATTTATGCTCATTAAACATTATTGGAAATAAATGAAAAAAAATGTATTCTGACCCTGTTTAAATATAGTCCCCACCATATAGTTAACCAACATATAGTCCCCATATAGTTAACCAACTAATCAATTTTGTTTAGCATTGGAGGTGTGCCCGGTGTGTCGGGGTGCAGAAATGATATACATGGCAGTCCTGACCCTCCCCCCCTCCCCCTCCTTTTGGAAAAAATCACATTTATATTCCCCTCTTGGAATTAGAAGTATAGCTGGTTTGAAATTTGTAACCGTTCCAAATTGCAGCATTTGCCCTCTTTAACCCAAAAATATTTTGGGGCCCTTCAGCGGGCCCCGAACCCCACCACAAGGGGGCCGAGGGTCGGCTTCTTATCCGGGGCCTGTCATTTCTATTAAAAAAAAAAATCGGACCCCCCCCCCCCCCCTCAAATAATCCTGCATGGTCTGCTAGCAACTTTTACTGTGCACCCTTAAAACGTATGTTTGAAAATATCGTGTTGCAGAAAGGTTTTTTAATCAAAAATTATGTTTTGAATGTCACGCTTTAACGGCGCTCGGGAGTAAAAAGATTATCGGTGCGGGGACGTACTAGTAAGTTAGATGCGTAAACAAAGCGACCCAACCCTGCACTAAAACGAAAGTTGTTCAAATGGCAGCAACCCCTGATTCTTTGACAACTTATACCATTGGTCAGAAATGAAGTTAATGTCCTGCACAGTCTGATCAAGATGCCCGATTGTAGGACCAAGGGTGTAGGGCTTGTCAATAGGCAAACACACGTGAGCCCATCCTCCTTTCGAATTCCAGCCGTGCGTGACCTTGTTGGCCTCATTCCCCGATGACGTCAGAATAAAATATGGCGGATGAATGTTTTGGTTTTGACTTGACTGCCAAGAATTATAAAATAGTTGTATTAACGCATTAATTGTTGCTTGGAAAGCGTAAAGACTGTTCTAAAATGCCTTGGTACTTTCCCTGGTCAGACGCGATCAAGAAAAGGGCCTGTAGATACCTTCTACAGCGTTACATGGGACATTTTCTTCAAGAAAAAGTGTCACTCGAACAGCTGACTGTCGATTTATACAATGGAACTGGCACCATAAAGGGTTTAAGCCTAGATGTGAAGGTATAGGTTTTGAAAAATAATACAGGATGGGAGTTTTGGGAACGTTGATTGATTATCACTTAAATATTTTCTTTATTAGGATATGCTCATCTAGATTCAACGTATGTACATCTCATAACACTTATTATTTGTTGCTTTTTCCTTTAACGTTTAAAGCATAATTGACAGAGCATTTATTCTAGGGCATTTATAATGAATTCAGGTTATGTTTGTACTTAAGAAATACATAATAGTTTGATATATATGGCATTACTACATTAGATTCGTTCCGATTCATTATCCTGTTGTCCTCTCTGTTGCAAGTAAACAGAATGACTCATGTTGACAGGTAGCTCAAATAATCAGCTTCCAGGTTTTTTTAAATATATGAAATATTCTTTGGCATGGTTGAGTCTGAAAAATATGGGTCATGTTAGGAATGAAAATGATTACCCCCCCCCCCCTTCCCTCCTGCATCTTCATGGAGATTACACTGCTGAGTAGCTTATCAGTTTTTCCACTTATTGTCAAGTATTTCCTGGTTAATCATCTCTACTAGATCATTACAGTTTTAAACCCTGCTACCAGTTACACAATGTGAAGCATATGCCTGTCTCTTGTGTGCATATTATGACATTATTTAAGAAGTAGTTCATTTGTAGATAAATGTGCTTTGTCTTTTCTTATACATCTGGGGAAATATAGCTGGCTTTGATTCAAAGTTACTTTGACCTTTATATCAGTAACTGAATCAAACTTTATAGAAGTCTGCAGACTATTGCTACTTCACATGTTGCAAACAATCTATTTTATGATAATTATTGAGAATAGATATTGTTTTGTGGAGAAAGTGACTTTCATATATATCCAAAGTCAAAATTTTAATATTAAAAAGGGAATATTTCATTCTAAGCTAGCTATCAACATGTATATACTGGTTTTTTTAGGTCTTGGTTGATGGGGCAAATGTATGACATATCTGAATCTGAAGGACTGGGTTGGGATCATTTTAATGCACGTGATTTGAAAAAGAAATATATGCCTGATAATGATTGTTAATAATGTTTTCTTTTGTTTGCCTGAAAAATATATTCTACCTTTAATGTTTTAATTTCTACTGTTGGTGCTTGTGTTGTGCATTTGGTGTTTTGTAATGTTCATATTGATGGCTTTTGTATCTAGGCCCTGAATGAGACTCTAGATGGAGTGAACATGCCTTTTGAGATTGTGGATGGCTATGTTGGGGAGATAACAGTGTCCATTCCATGGAAGAGCCTGACCAGTGACAGCACCTGTGTGGAGGTTGACAGTTTGGAACTTACTCTCCAGCCAAAACAGAGAAATGATGGTCAGTGTTGTTTTATCATTTATGTTACTATGATTAAAATTATGTCATTATGAAATGATAATACTTAATTATGGTATGACAGTATCAAAAAGCTAAACTGAATGTTTCAAAAATGCCTCTGCTTTGCCTCATTACTTCTTAGCTCAAAGAGGGTGGAATGAGACGCTTTCTGTTACCTAATTACCAGTTGGAAGTTTGGTATGGATTTCTAATTAAACCCAATTTTTTTTTTTTTTTTTTGAAAAATGCACTTTATATATTTTCACAAATTAAAACCATAGTTTTTTAAAATCATAATAGAATAAAGTTTCATTCTTAGAGTTTGATCTCTTCTTTTTCAGAGGTGCACTTGGACAGTATGTTCATGAGTATGACCAGCAGTATCCAGCTGGCTCAGGAGATGTTACAAGAGGGGCACACAGAGGGGGAGCAAGCAGCAGAGACTGCTCAGCCATTTGAGGGGTTGGAGATGTTTGCTCAGACTATAGAGTCAGGTTAGCAAAAGTCATTTCCATGGGTTTGATTTCACTGTGAAACCTGTCAAGTTTATGAAAACGAAGTCTATTGATTTGGCATGGTGTAGTATTTTAGTGTTTGGTAATTCTTAAAAGAAAATGTTAGTTGACATTTGTATTATAGATTGTCATTAAGTACACATGAATGTAGCTGATTGATGTGCAATTGTAGACTTTAAGTAAAATAGTATCGAAATTTTTGTTTACAGTTCTTTGTAGGGTAAAGTTGAATTTCACAGACACCATAGTCAGACTTGAACATTTACCTGCTGAGGCCAAGTGTGGAATTGCTTTGGAAATAAGAATAAATAGGTTTGTAGCAATGGAAACACATATTATGCACACAGGAGCTGTGAAACACAGCTGCTACCACCACAACAAGTGTATATATTTAGTAAAAAGCTGAGCAGTATTGACCCTCAGCTACCCAACTTTCAAGAGCAACAGGCTTGCTTTGCTCACTGAAGGTGTTGCATATTATTTTATTATTTTAATTACTCACATATTTTATCTAAAATATTTTTAAATTATCTTAAATGCATTTCTATATATCAGGGACAGAAATTATTTTTTGTTTCATTTACCCAATGTAATTATTTAAGCAATACTGACTTTCATCAATGAGATTAACTACTCATTATGTTAACTTGCTATAAATGAAAAAAAAAAATTATTTCCTTTTAACATGCGCTAAATAATGTTTATGAATATCATCAGGATCGAGTATTTTGATGAGTCTGCTACTGATCAAGGCAGTCCAGTAGATGATCCCATGCAGCATGATGTGTATAAACCAGCAGCCATTGCACACAAGAACTTCCATATCACAGGAATGACTTTCTTTTGTGATGAATTTGCTAAGACATTTTCTAGAAGCAATTCCATGGACTCCCAACCTTATAGCTTCCAGGTATAGTTGAATGTGTTGATAACATGGTTGTTTATTAATCTCAAATTATATAAAAGCCATGCTTAAAGTTCCATTAATATTATCGTAATGGTAACCTTTCATCAACACTCTATTTTTTAAATGATATAGATAAAGGTTTTTTCCTGCAAATCAGTGATTGCAGTTTTGGTCATACCGTGTTTACAATTGAAGTACAGATGTAAACTAAAAAATAGAATTGTCCTGAAATTATACCCACAAGAACAATTAATTACATATGTTTTATCTTCTTTTCCTTTAGTCTGCCGACACAGAACTGAACCTTTCCTCCACATCCTCTATCATAACCAGGCAACCCCAAAGAGCCCCTATTAACACCCTGTTGGGGCCCCATGAGAAAGCGCCCACTTCAGAACCCCTGCAGATTGCTGCATGTCAGGGGAAACAGAATGTGAAAATACGGATTAAACAANCCATAGTGATTTGTATCTCCCCTCAAAACAGAAAGCTGTTAAATTGATCATAAACATTCCGAGGTGCTTATGCTAATGGTAAGCAACAGGAAATATAAACCTTGATATATTAATATTTTTGGGGGAGATTTCATTTTGTTTTTAATCAGCAAAATGGTAGATGCATTGTTGAAGAATTTTGGTGTTTTGATGATCATAAACCGAGTTTGTAACCTTAATATGATATCAACATTGTGCTGTTATTCAGTTGAATTACTAGTATTGTTTATGAAACAAAGAATTGATGTTAACTGTCAAAATTGATATGGTTCTGTTGCATGAAGAAATGTTCTTTTTCAATTTCAGGTATGCATAGAACATCTACTCCTACAGATTAATGTGTGCCACATGATGGAAAGATTTTGGACTATTACTAGGAAATTCATATGTATATACAGTCATTTTAGTGATGAACATCTTCAAAAAGACCAAGAGTGCAGTCTACAAAAGGATTAAGTCATACATGAATATATCAGTAATTATTATAGTCTGCCCAAATTTGTTAATTGTCATATTGAAAAGGCAACTTGCAATCCATGGTCTCTTCCACTTATAATTGATAAAGGTGATTTAGGCCTAACCTTACGTTTTCTAATTGAAAAGTCAGATTTCAAATATGGCTTGAAATCGTATTCAATTTGGAACATGATGCCATTTGTCTTCAACTTGAAGGCAATGGCTATGATTTAAAACAATGTAAATAAGCTTGTTAGTATCATTCATTTGCAGGCACTGTGATGTCTTTATATTGGTATTAGTAAATATTAAAAAACATTAAACATGTTAAAATTGCATTCAATTTGATGTGTTTGAAGAGTTGCAAGTATGAATTTATATTTTGTTGTGAACAATGCAAATGCTTGCGTTTTCTTATCATGGTGCTATTATGACATGAAAGGAGAAGATGCAATTGTTCATAAGTTTTGCATTTTGAAATTTATGATTAAGGTTCGAATTAGACATTGTATTTCTCAAATGAAACTAGTTATTTATTTTGTATCACATTCTCATTATACAAAATAAAATTTTATTTCAATCAGACTTTTTGATTTGTTTTCATATGATGATTTTTTTTACAAAGACGATTTTTCAAAACATTTATTAGCCAAGTATACTTATATGAAATTTTTTTATCTCAGCAGTTACCACTTTAAACTTTGTCCAACTGTTGTTTGTTATTTATAGTTATTTATGTCTGATATTACAGTTGCGTTTCAGTGTAAACGACAGTTTTGTTAAGGTTAGTTGTTTCTAAAAGAATGTTAAAGAGACTTCATATTTTAACTCAGTTCATTTGCTATCCCAGGTTTGGTCTCGCAGACAAAAAAAATGAAAAAACTGCTATACCTATAAATTGTAGAGTTGTAGATTTTTTATGTTTGCAACAGTTTTTCCTTGACTTGATGTTTTTGCACATAACATGACTGAATTTAACATGCAGCTCATTGCACTGGAGATTGCAGTGTTTTTTGCAATCAGACTGCAATGAGTCACATGGAACAAGAACAAACTTGTGTATCTTAATAGAATTGTGCTTTACAGAAACTGATTTGTTTTTGTGAGAGGCAGTAACATGACAGTTTCCTGCACGGTAAAATAAATTAAATGCCAGGCAGTCTTGATAAGAGAAGTGCACTGGTACTTTGGACTTTCCACATTTTACATTTTTAAGTATCTTTTAACAACAAATTAAAGCCCTGCAGTTTTGTTATCTTTTAGAAGCACTAACTGCTCAAGTATTCTGCTCTTAATTATAGCTTAATCATATGGACATAGCTTTTCCTTTGAGCACAAAACCTTTAGGATACCTGGACGCGTTTAAGGCCTGTTATAACTATTGAAGCCATCAACTTAAAAAAAAAAGAAAACACTTGATCCCCCCCCCTCCTTTTGGAAAAAATCACATTTATATTCCCCTCTTGGAATTAGAAGTAGCTGGTTTTAAATTTGTAACCGCTCCAAATTGCAGCATTTGCCCTCTTTACCCCAAAAATATTTTGGGGCCCTTCAGCGGGCCCGGAACCCCACCACAAGGGGGCCGAGGGTCGGCTTCTTATCCGGGGCCTGTCATTTCTAAAAAAAAAAAATCGGCCCCCCCCCCCCCCCCCTTCAAATAATCCTGCATGGTCTGCTAGCAACTTTTAATGTGCACCCTTAAAACGTACGTTTGAAAATATCGTATTGCAGAAAGGTTTTTTAATCAAAAATTATGTTTTGAATGTCACGCTTTAACGGCGCTCGGGAGTAAAAAGATTATCGGTGCGGGGACGTACTAGATGCGTAAACAAAGCGACCCAACCCTGCACTAAAACGAAAGTTGTTCTTGAAAATGGCAGCAACCCCTGATTCTTTGACAACTTATACCATCGGTCAGAAATGAAGTTAATGTCCTGCACAGTCTGATCAAGATGCCCGATTGTAGGACCAAGGGTGTAGGGCTTGTCGATAGGCAAACACACATGAGCCCATCCTCCTTTCGAATTCCAGCCGTGCGTGACCTTGTTGGCCTCATTCCCCGATGACGTCAGAATAAAATATGGCGGATGAATGTTTTGGTTTTGACTTGACTGCCAAGAATTATAAAATAGTTGTATTAACGCATTAATTGTTGCTTGGAAAGCGTAAAGACTGTTCTAAAATGCCTTGGTACTTTCCCTGGTCAGACGCGATCAAGAAAAGGGCCTGTAGATACCTTCTACAGCGTTACATGGGACATTTTCTTCAAGAAAAAGTGTCACTCGAACAGCTGACTGTCGATTTATACAATGGAACTGGCACCATAAAGGGTTTAAGCCTAGATGTGAAGGTATATGTTTTGAAAAATAATACAGCATGGGAGTTTTTGGAACGTTGATTGATTGTCACTTAAATATTTTCTTTATTAGGATATGCTCATCTAGATTCAACGTATGTACATCTCATAACACTTATTATTTGTTGCTTTTTCCTTTAACGTTTAAAGCATAATTGACAGAGCATTTATTCTACTGCATTTATAATGAATTCAGGTTATGTTTGTACTTAAGAAATACATAATAGTTTGATATATACTTGGTTTTGGCATTACTACATTAGATTCATTCCGATTCATTATCCTGTTGTCCTCTCTGTTTCAAGTAAACAGAATGACTCATGTTGACAGGTAGCTCAAATAATCAGCTTCCAGCTTTTTTTTGTATATATATGAAATATTCTTTGGCATGGTTGAGTCTGAAAAAATATGGGTCATGTTAGGAATGAAAATGATTACCCTCCCCCTTCCCTCCTGCATCTTCATGGAGATTACACTGCTGAGTAGCTTATCAGTTTTTCCACTTATTGTCAAGTATTTCCTGGTTAATCATCTCTACTAGATCATTACAGTTTTAAACCCTGCTACCAGTTACACAATGTGAAACATATGCCTGTCTCTTGTGTGCATATAATGACATTATTTAAGAAGTAGTTCATTTGTAGATTAATGTGCTTTGTCTTTTCTTGTACATCTGTGGAAATAGCTGGCTTTGATTCAAAGTTACTGTGACCTTTATATCAGTAACTGAATCAAACTTTTTAGAAGTCTGCAGACTATTGCTACTTCACATGTTGCAACTAATCTATTTTATGATAATTATTGAGAATTGATATTGTTTTGTGGAGAAAGTGACTTTCATATATATCCAAAGTCAAATTTTTAATATTAAAAAGGGAATATTTCATTCTAAGCTAGCTATCAACGTGTATATACTTTTTTTTAGGTCATGGTTGATGGGGCAAATGTATGACATATCTGAATCTGTTATGGCAATAATTTGCTTTTGAAGGACTGGGTTGGGATCATTTTAATGCATGTGATATGAAAAAGAAATATACATGATGTATGCCTGATAATGATTGATAAAAATGTTTTCTTTTGTTTGCCTGAAAAATATATTTTACCTTTAATGTTTTAATTTCTACTGTTGGTGCTTGTGTAGTGCATTTGGTGTTTTGTAATTTTCATATTGATGGCTTTTATATCTAGGCCCTAAATGAGACTCTAGATGGAGTGAACATGCCTTTTGAGATTGTGGATGGCTATGTTGGGGAGATAACAGTGTCCATTCCATGGAAAAGCCTGACCAGTGATAGCACCTGTGTGGAAGTTGACAGTTTGGAACTGACTCTCCAGCCAAAACAGAGAAATGATGGTCAGTGTTGTCTTATCGTTAATGCTACTATGATTAGAATTATGTCATTATGAAATGATAATACTTAATTGTGGTATGACGATGTCAAAAAGTTAAACTGAATGTTTCAAAAATGCCTCTGCTTACCTTAGCTCTAGGAGGGGGTGGAATGAGATGCCTTCTGTTACCTAATTACCAGTTAGAAGTTCATTATGGATTTCTAACCCATTTTTTTTTTTTTTTGAAAAATGCACTTTATTTATTTTCACAAATTAAAATCATAATTTTCTTAAATCATAAAAGAATAAAGTTTCATTCTTCTTTTTCAGAGGTGCACTTGGACAGTATGTTCATGAGTATGACCAGCAGTATCCAGCTGGCTCAGGAGATGTTACAAGAGGGGCACACAGAGGGAGAGCAAGCAGCAGAGACTGCTCAGCCATTTGAGGGGTTGGAGATGTTTGCTCAGACTATAGAGTCAGGTTAGCAAAAGTCATTTCCATGGGTTTGATTTCACTGTGAAAACCTGTCAAGTTTATGAAAACGAAGTCTATTGATTTGGCATGGTGTAGTATTTTGGTGTTTGGTAATTCATAAAAGAAAATGTTAGATGAAATTTGTATTACAGATTGTCATTAAGTACACATGAATGTAGCTGATTGATGTGCCATTGTAGACTTTAAGTAAGAAAGTATTGAAATTTTTGTTTACAGTTCTTTGTAGGGTAAAGTTGAATTTCACAGACACCATAGTCAGACTGGAACATTTACCTGCTGAAGCAAAGTGTGGAATTGCTTTGGAAATAAGAATAAATAGGTTTGTAGCAATGGAAACACATATCACGCACACAGGAGCTGTGAAACACAGCTGCTACCACCACAACAAGTGTATATATTTAGTAAAAAGCTAAACAGTATTGACCCTCAGCTACCCAACTTTCAAGAGCAACAGGTTTACTTTGCTCACTGAATTATTTTAATTACTCACATATTTTATCTAAAATGTGTTATCTTAAATGCGTTTCTATATATCAGGGACAGAATGTTTTTGTTTCATTTACCCAATGTAATTATTTAAGCAATACTGACTTTCATCAATGAGATTAACTACTCATTATGTTAATTTGGTATAAATGAAAAAAAAAATTATTTCCTTTTAACATGTGCTAAATAATGTTTATGAATATCATCAGGATTGAGTATTTTGATGAGTCTGCTACTGATCAAGGCAGTCCAGTAGATGATCCCATGCAGCATGATGTGTATAAACCAGCAGCCATTGCACACAAGAACTTCCATATCACAGGAATGACTTTCTTTTGTGATGAATTTGCCAAGACATTTTCTAGAAGCAATTCCATGGACTCTCAACCTTATAGCTTTCAGGTATAGTTGAATGTGTTGATAACATGGTTGTTTATTAATCTCAAATTATATAAAAGCCATGCTTAAAGTTCCATTAATATTATCGTAATGGTAACCTTTCATCAACACTCTATTTTTTAAATGATATAGATAAAGGTTTTTCCTGCAAACCAGTGATTGCAGTTTTGGTCATACCATGCTTATAATTGAAGTACAGATGTAAACTAAAAAATAGAATTGTCCTGAAATTATGCCCACAAGAACAATTAATTACATATGTTTTATCTTCTTTTCCTTTAGTCTGCCGACACAGAACTGAACCTTTCCTCCACATCCTCTATCATAACCAGGCAACCCCAAAGAGCCCCTATTAACACCCTGTTGGGGCCCCATGAGAAAGCGCCCACTTCAGAACCCCTGCAGATTGCTGCATGTCAGGGGAAACAGAATGTGAAAATACGGATTAAACAAAATGACAGTATACCAGGACCAAGGGTAGGTATACGTGTCATTTGTAAATGTGAATTATTGGAATTGCATTTGTCTGATTTTTTTTTTTTTAAGCAAATGTGAAAATAATTTAACTTTTTTTTTTTTTGGTAAATGTGCACCAATGTTTAATAAAATCCTCACAGAAGGAATTTTTTCTGAAAAAGTTCAGAAAATCAGGACTGGTTATGTTGATTTTTTGTTAAATTCATCATGGAGACTAGGAGTAGATTGTTTCACAAACATCTTCATTCCTTTTGTAGTTTGAACTGGACTGCCAGCTTGGCCCGTTGAATGTATTCCTTTCTCCAAGACAGCTCCATATGTTACTGTTGATGGCAGAAACTCTTTCAGCTCCAGGTTAGTCCAAATGTTAAAAATCACAATCTCTACTGCTCAGAGAGCAATTTCAAGATTTTTGTAAACATTTGAATGAAACAAAGATTAAAGCATTTCTTCTCATGATTGATATTATCTTATTTAGTCAAGTACTTTATTTTCATTTTTGATCAAAACCAGATATTTGAAGTGTGTTATAATATTACACTCAGTGGATACCTTGAAAGAAAATGTTCTATAGTAATAAACATGTCACAACTGTTACTTTTGTTTCAAAATGTACCCAAATACATAACTACTGTTGTAACTTTACAGTTGTACCTGTTTGAGAAATGCTTAGTTAAACATACTGTTTATCAGTGCTATGTGAACTTGCTGAGTATGAAAAATTTTTGAAAACATGTAATGCATTTTTTGTGCATAAAAATAACTTTGCAGGATCCTGTGATAGTGATGAGAAAGGCCACAGTGGAAACTTGAACAAACCCATGAACCAGACAGATTTCCAGAGAGTGGAACAAGACTTACAGAGACAGATGCAGCAAGATAGAATGCAGAGAGGTCAGGAAAGAACCAGGCAGCCATCTTGGAGAGATGATGATGAAAGCATGACTACACATTCACTAGGTAATTAAAACAACAAATGTTCACCTATAAAATGTAGGGAGTTTCTCTTTGTCACAGTATTGTCAGTGTTTGAAGTATATCTCTGCCACTGTTATGCGAAGAAAATTTGTCATCACCTTGCAGGCTGTCAAACAGTTACTACTAAATGCAGACACTGGTGTGTGACTGAGCATTCTGTGACATGCTCATCTATCATCTTTGCCACGATTTCTATCAATCCATTGTAACAGTTGGGGAATCTTATTTCAGATGACTCTAGAGATGATCTATACTTCTCCCTGGGTCAAAGCAATGTTGGTATTGGCTCCATGCAATCCTCCTACACCAGTTCATACAGTACAAAGACCGCTTCGTCTGTTTCTACAGGTAATGTCTTGAATGTTGGTTTAGAAAGAATTGCAGCACGGAATTGGCCAAAGCAAAAGTGTTTTGTTGTTGCAGTGCTACCATAGTTAGCAATGATTAGGAATATTTAATGCGTAGATGTGGATATCTCATTGTAGTAAACAACTTTTGATCTGGTTCATTTTTTGATGAAAATTACCAGTATTTGACACCTAACTTTTTAAATTGATGAGTGCATGTGTACATGTAGAATATAATGAGTAAAGAAAATGTAAAATGCCAGCTTAACGTAAATACATTTGTGGACATTCTTCCAGGTACTTACAGATACACCGGGGGCAGTTATGTAAGCAATACCAAGACAGAAACTCCATTCACAAGTACTTTGTCAAAGGAGCTAAAGCAAAAGACAAAACCTGCTAAGGGAAAAGGTAGGTAACTTTCAATATCTTGTTCTCGTTGCAGGGGAATGTACAGTTTACATTATCAAAAGGAAAGGATGAAAAGGGTATACAAACAGAATATTTTAACATCTATGTTTCATTAATTAATTAATAAAGAATTCAAACTTGTGAAAGTTTTTCTTATTGCTTGATTTCTTCTTTTAATCGTGTCAGATCCAGTGCAGAAGCTTCTGGAGGAACCAGGGGTGGAGCTGAATGTCTTCAAAGTCAAAATGAGTTTTCTGTCCCTGACCCTCCTTCATGAAGACCCCCAAACTTCTCCAGGGGACGTAATGGATGAACCAGAGAAATCAGCTACTGAAAAGCTGAAAGAAATGGGGGAGAGGTACTTCCAGGGCATTAAGACTGTGAACCCCAGTGGTATGACCCCCATAGATTTGGTTAAAATCAGGGAAAGGATTTCAGAAATTTGCCCATATGATCACATAGGGTAAGTGATATGTTTAAATTGGTAAAGCCAAAAATTTTGTGCTGTTGATATATGTTTTTGTAGTATGATTTTGAGTTGTGGTCTACTATGAAAAATGTACTTTAAAAAAGCCCAGTTTGTTATTGTTGTGTACACCAATTTGATCAAGACTAAATAGTAAGCTTTCTTAACTATCACAATATGTGTGGATGCTCAGTCCATAGCAGTTGACTTTTAACACTTTGATTTTCCTTTTTACACTTTAATTTTGAAAGGTGCCTTGGGAAACCCTTGACTCTTCACTGTCAGCAGAAATCCTTGAACAGCAAGAGTTCTTTGTCTCTGGATATTTCACTGGGCATCATGGAGGTTGTGGAGTGCCTGTTTGATAGGAGAACCAGCTCAGGGACATCTAGTTTCCTGTCACATGTGACCAAGGCCCCAATCTATAGTGAGGTTTGTATTCACAGTTGACACACTGTAACATATTACTTTTTGCATATCACACCTTTTTGGTGAAGGCAGTGGCCTAGTGTTGTTCTTTTTATTATTATTATTATTTATTATTATTTTTTTTTTTTTTTTTTTTTTTGAAATGAAAAAAAAATGAAGTCATCAAATTACTGAAATGAGAAAGGTATATGATAAAGAAAAGCTCTTAATAGATTTGCGGTGATTCATGAGACCAATGATTTTGAAATGCATTAGTTTGGAATCAGAATGTCTAGTGTATGGAATTGAGTTACCTGTAGAGCAGTATGGTTTTGTAGCCTTGGGCAATACAGACTTTGGCACATAAAAGGCAGCAAAACCAAGTACGCTACAGGGTTTTATGTTTTTTTTGTAATGTATCACTGCAGTTACTTGTTGGCAGGCCCCCATCCTTTGAAAGCCATAAAACATGGAGTTTACTACTTTTTAATACAGTAGTATATGAATCAATAAAACAGTCATCAGAGGATATTGTTTATCACCATACAGTTTGGTAAGCTAAGATAGTGAGTGGTGTGCCTTATAGGTATGTCACACCAAAGCAAAAAAAAGGAGCATGTTTGATACATTGTTTCATGCAAAGATATGGAGAAAACTATTCACTCTTTCTTTAACTGGAGTCATTCTTCTGGAATTTCACAGCCCTAAAGTTACCTGTAGTGGAGATCACATGGGGCTATTGCAACTTCCAATTCTATTATGTGCTGAGTCAGCCTTTCTATAAATTTAGTCTTACACACCCCTCCATATTTTTTTTCCATTTTGTTTTAGCCTAAAAATAACTGTTATCTCTAAATTGTCATTGTTTTGGCCAAGTATTTTAAGACATGACCCTAGATACCCCAACACTCTTCTCTTACAGCAGTAAAAAATTATGATATAACTAATCATTTGTTTGTCTAAAGAACACTCTCCCATTAACCTAAAGATACAGGCTGAACATGGACATTACACCTACAACAACACTTTATTTCCTGTGTTAGCTTGCAGTGACAGTGATATTTAGGGAAATTATTGGATGTTAATAGTGTTGCTGGGTAGAATGGTTATGATGGCTAACCTTGCCAGAACTGGATTAGCCTCATCATCATGTCATTTCCATCATACTTGAGCTTTGGAAGACTAAATGATTGGCAATTTATTGAGGGCTAGATAAATATAGAAAATGATGTTTTTTTAGTTGTGGTTTTGTTAATGTTCAAAACATACAAGTAATATATAAAAAGTATTTTTTGTCATTTTTTTATTATGATAAAATAAATCTTGTCTCTCAATTAATTAGTATAACTAATTTGTATTTTTTAAGTTGTGTTTAAAGAACAGATAAATGAATAGTATTCAGAAATGATTTATATACAAAATCTACAATAATTTGCACTTATCTCAAGTACAAAGCATTAAATTAGATATAGCCTATTTCACAGTACACATCAGCAGGATCTGATGGACTGTCAGGTATACAGTCTTTAGGGTTTAAGTATCCATCTTCTGGTTTAGGAGGCAAAGGCATTTTTTTATATCGTTCATTAGCAGCACTCCATCTTTCAGCCGAATTCACTTCATTTTCAATGCTTGCAGCTTTTTCATCACTTAGTTTTTCACTTGTAGATGGGAAGGCTGTTGCACCTTCAATTTCTGAATTTTTATCAGCTGCTAAGTCAGCCTTTCCATTAAACTTAGTCTCACATACCCCACTATTTGCTTTTGCAGCACCATTGAGATTTTTCTTTTTGGTGTAACGTTTTGAGTCATAGCTTGTTGTAGGTAGGGTATTGCTTGGTAACCCTTTTGATGGTTTTGCATAGTATGGTTCTGTTGTTAACTTTCGTCTTCTGATCACTACTACAACTACAGCCACAGCTATAACTGCTACTACCACAAGAATAACGCCAATGATCACTCCAGCTAAAGTACCAGCAGAAATGGGACCAGGGGGATGTGATTGGTTGGAATTATTAGCAGGTGCTGGAACTGCGTTTGTCGATGCATTAAAGCAGTTCTCGGGTCTTTTATCCATTTCTCTGTTATCCAAAAGAATGATGATACATATGTGGTAGCTAGTGCCAGCTTGTAGTCTCCTCATCTCATATACTGTCACAGTATAGTGGAGGGGGTCTGACAGTGTTGTGTGATTCATTTCTTGTGTGAAGTAGTCATATTGTATCTGGTATCCTGTTATGTCATGATCGTGGTCAGGATTCCACCAGAATTTCAAGGAGGATGTTGTAGCATTAAGGAGCCTGATCTCTAGGTAATGGGTGCCATGTGTTGGAACTACAGAACTCTGTGGAGTGCTGCTTATGGCAGGGATTGTTCCTGATGAAGAATGTTCTGTTGGTGGGGACCTGGTGGTGGGAGATGACAACTCACTTATTGTAACTAATGATGATGATAATGTTGTTGCTGTTTTTACTGGGGTTCTACTGGTGTTCTGGGGTGTTACTGTAAATGATGATGAAGTGTACTGTTGTAGAGTAGTTGTTCTGTTGACAGTGTTTGGTGTAGAATTCACTGCATGTGTTGTTGGTGATGTACTTCTAGTTCTTGGACTTGTGGTGCTAGGTATAGTTGTAGTAGTAGTAGTAGAAGTCGTAGTAGATGTCATAGTTGTAGTAGAAGTAGTAGTTGTTGTTGGAGTTGTCGTAGTTGTGCTTGTTGTTGTAGTATATGGAATACAAGACCGAGGGATAGGCTGTCTAACGCATGTAAAGTTCTCCCAAGGAATCATTCTGAAAAGTTTTCCTTGAACATCCTCAGGCTGGTCACAACGCCAGTCAATTAGCACCTGCTGTAAGAAAGGTGTGAATGTCCTGTTAACCCATTCTTTTAGCCATTGCAGTCTACAGTCACACTGCAGGGGGTTACCTCCCAGTGTCACCTCCTCCAGAAAATGGAATTCATTAAAAGTGCATCTGTCCATAGACACTATATTGTTATTATTAAGGAGAAGTCTGCGTAGCGTACTTTGAAGGCCATATAGGGTGGCCTGGGCCAGAGTATACATACTATTGTGACATAGTTTTAGAGTATTGAGGTGGGTGAAATTTTCAAAGAAATAGTTTGGAATGATGGTGACCTGATTGTGACAGAGATTAAGTGTCCTGAGTTTTGTGAGAGGCTTTAGACTGAGCCAAGCTGTAGAACTGAATCCAACATTGTCAATACTGAGAACTTTCAGATTTTTCTCTAATCCATTGAATGTATGAGGATTGAATAGCCCCACTAGCTGCTGATTGTCCAGATAAAGCTCTTCAAGTGAATTGAAGGATAGGAATGTTTCATTTGCAATGTAGCGTAACCTATTTTCTGCTAAAATGAGAGATTTTAGTCTTGTATGAAGTCCATTGAATGTATATGGGGTAATTGCACGTAGCTGGTTGCCAAGTATGTTAAGATACTCCAATCTTGTAAGATTTGTGAACAGTCCATTTTGAATGGTCTGAATCTGGTTATTTGCAAGATTGAGACTTTTGAGTTTATATAACTTTGATATTGCAGGGAGTTGAAGCTCCATCAAGATGTTGAGATGTAGGGAAAGTTTTTCCAAGTTGACCTCCAGTCCCCTGAATGCATTCAAATGGAGAATCTGCAGTGCATTATGGGATAGATCTAGGTCTACCAATGCTGTAAGACCTTGAAAAGAATCTGTATTAATTGACCGAATGATATTCCCGGAGAGATCAAGAATTTTGAGGTTTTTCAACAGTGATAGCCCACTTGTTGGCACTTCTGTGATGTTGTTATTTATCAAATGAAGCTCCTCTAAAGTGTTGTTTATAACACTGAAAGTATTGCTTGATATTTGTCTTACAGCACATGACTCTAAGTAAAGCTGTCGTAGATTTGTCAGTTCATGAAATAATGCATCTGGTAATACTGGCATTGTAAATCCTTTCAGATAAAGATATTCCAATTTAGTTAAACTTGTTATGGCTTCCATGTTTATATGAACTTGTGTTCCTTCACGAACCTCTAAAATGAGCTCAGTTAGGGAAGACTCCAGCCCAATAAAGGTGTTATTGTCAAGGTACTCAATTGGATTGCTGCTGAGGTCCAATCTTTGGATAGAAAGTCCTTGAAACATCCCTGGTGTTAAAAGATGAATGTTATTATGAGCCAAGGTAAGCTCATAGAATGTGACATTGCTCGGTGTTATTTCTGGCAAAGCTGTAAGTTTGTAGTATCTGCAGTTAATTACAGCTCCATTTTCTCCTCTTTCACATCCACAAGGAGGAGGAAGGGGGCACAGTTGACTGTCAGTTAAGGATATTGCTGTTAAAGTCAGACAGAGAGACAGAATAGCTTTTGCACTTGTCGTTGTTGGTTTTTGTTTGTGTTTGGGTATCTGAAAATAAGAACAAATAACTGGTCAGGAGATGACGTAGATATACAGAGAGTGACATATATTGTACACCATTTCCCAGTCTCAAATTGTTTTAATTGAATAGGATGGTTGTTTGTTGTCAAACCAACTTGTCCTACATTCCATGAACAAGGACAGATTTGTCGCATAAAGTCTGAATGTTCAAGATGTTTTTATTGCTTTCAGCATAATTTTTAGGTCAAAATGTGTTTTGCATAATTTTTCTGAAACAGATTTACACAGCTGAAATTCTGCTTTTTTCATTTATATAATGAAGTCCATAGGCAAATGGATGTGTCTTTAATACTCAAAAGAGTCAATAATTTTTTATGTGGGGAAATGGTAGTTAAATGCTTCAGATTCTTTGAAGTACACTGATGACATTGTTATGGTAATTTTTCACTGGTCTGGTTACTCATGCTGCATATAAATGTGGGAGATATAAAAATACATTATATCAAGTATGCAGCACTTTGTTGGAAAAGAACTATGGAGAAGTCATTGTTTAAGTCCACTGGTCTTATAAAAACATCATTTTTAATTTGGCAGGTTGGAGGGAGGTGGATAAAGTTGTCATTGTTAAGACACATTGAAAATGTATAGATAATGACAGAATTGAAGCTTTTATGAGGCTGTGAGTGTTTACCTGTTACAGATGTTCCAAGTATAGCTATAAACTTCATTTGCCCAGACTTACCAAATTCCATAGGAAAACTTAAAGGTCATTTGTATACTACTAATGTACAAGTTTGTGGGCCTACAAGATGCATATATATAAGTGAATTGTGATCAAGGGCAAACATAATGAGAGGTACTGACCTGGCAAAAAAATGCCTTAAATTTTGATGGTGTTTTGTTGTGAAATTGAAAAATTGATTGGAGAGTGCCATTTGAATGCTCACTACATGTACATACCAAATTACTTTTTTGGTACCTTTGATAAAGTCATCTCAAAAAGTAATTTCGATTAAGCTTGCACCTGTAAACATGTCCCCATATAACTGTAGTACATTACAACTTACCAATCCATTCTACTGAAAATAATTACATTTGAGGTTAAATGCTGAGATTTACTTACCATTTTGAAAGTATCTCAGTCCTGAATTTTGAAATATTATGCTTTTTGCTGATCCTCACACTGATAAGTGCATCAGTAGCTTAATCACAGATGACATGGAATGAACTGACTAATCTATTACACCTGTGTATCTGTGATATTCTGTTTTACCTGTATAGCCCCACCTACCTTCTATATAAGGAAGGTGTCACATCCGCCAAATCTTTATTTGGCAAGTCATGTGACCAAGTTTTAACCATAATAGGAATATGAGTGACAGGAAAGTGGTTTGACTCCTTAGTAATGGACACCTTTGACAGCTTTAGTCACCTTTGTATGAAGGCTACCTTTTATTTGCCGAAATTTAATATGCACTGGCTGAATGCTTCAGAGCAAGTATTTCGCCACAGATCCCTTGCAACAATGGAGATTACAACAATGGCTTGCATTCCTTAGGTTGAGATAGAATACAAAGTACAGATTCATATAGAATAATGCTAATATGTACCTTGCTCTCAGTTTTTTGTTAACACCTTGTTATCAAAATTATTTTTCCCTGATTTATTTATTGTCATTATTTTGGAAGAATGTGCCAAATTTCCTGTTGAATTAATACAGAATATTACATCATCATGAAGCATATCTGTAATGTGTTCCATTTACTGGTGCTTGGACCTATTATAGTTTACATTTGCAGTATGTTTGTGACCTACAGCATTCTCTAGCCCAAAGGGTTTGGTTTATGTTTAAAATTGATAAACACCAAACTCTCCTGATAGAAATGAGATTATATTTTTCTGATGTAGAGAGAAAAAGAACAGTGGTTGAATTGTCTTTCAACAGATTATTTTGTGTATCCCAATGTTACAGTATCAAAGTTTAAAATTAAGTTTAATAGTGATATTTTAACTTATGTCTTGGAAGCATGAGTGCAAGGGCAACAGTTAAAACCCTTTTATGGCTTTATTGCCATAAATTGAAATAACATTTATATTGTAATTTATGATATCTATCATATTGCACAGTGCTCTACAAAGCTATTTTTCATTTTTCTTTAGTTGCTCATATTTCATGAAGAAGGTGGTCATCAGAGCAACAAATTAGGACAGATGTACACAAGTGTCTACAGCACACCTTGTTTTAAGATGAAAATACAGTCCTTGGAAAAACCCTGTCAGGTAGAAAAAATGCATTTCATTTTTTGTTTTCCTTTATTTATTGTTTCTTTAACATTTAAATCTTACTCCTAAGATATAAATTAAATCAATATTTTTCTGTACAAATGGCTCATGCGATTGTATGAATTGTGCATAGCATATAGCCCACTTTTTGGGTTCCTCTTTTCACACTTTACCAGAGGCTCAGTTCATCTTATTTGCTGTTATAAGGAATGGTGTATATTTTTAATGAAGTAGTAGACTTCACCAGTATCTGTAGGGTTCATATTCTGTAAGGTTTTGTATTACTTTGGTCATTAAGCAGTTTTTTCAGTTATAGACACGGCACAGACTGTCATTGACAATTAATAAATGTGCACATAAAACAACAATTTATCTTCCCATTTTTTCATTGCAGTCTTCACGTAGACAGTCATCCCACTCATTCAGCCCAGGTACTGAGGTCCACATAGAGCTAGGACAGGTCATTTCAGAGGTGGACATCAGTATAGTGGACAGGTTGAATGCACTCCTAAATCCTCTGCCTTTAGAACCCCAGGACACTGGAACCCAGATGTACTCCATTCAAAGCAGTATTAATACAGTGAGTGGAACTGGAATATATTTACTTTAACCAAGTGCAGTTGTGACTAAATTGTTGATAAGCTGGAAATTTTTATTTAAACTTTACATATTTCTCATTTTCTCCTGCCAATGCAAGTTAAAGACAACAGCTTATCTGGAGTAAAACAATATATAAATATTTTGTCAAATGTATTTTAACTGTTAATTATTGTGCAAAATTTTTTAATGAAGTCGCCGTGTAAAATTCTAAATATTAGGAACTTTTGTTTGATCTAGAAAACTAGTTATTTATTTATTTATTTATTTATTTCCTTTTGATGATTGACTTTCAGACACGCCAAATGATGTACAATCAGGCTATGGATGAGAATGTTGCTGCATCAGGTAGTAAAGTAGATCTTCATGTCACAAGTGATTGTGCCACTATCAACCTTAGGTGAGTATGAAACAATAATGAAGTATTTTGATATAAGTCGTCTGATTGCATATTCAGTTGTGTTCAATATTGGATGAAAGTTGCAGTTTCAGGTTTTCAGTCTATCCAATCTGTAAATAATTACATAAGAACTTATTTTAAACCTGAATATGATACACCAAGTGTTTCCTGGATATATTTCTAGTTTACTGTTATAGGTGTTCTTGTTGATCATTATTAAGAGAAATGTAGGACACTTAAAGGTTATTTGATATTCCTTAGGTTTCCAATCCCTGATCTACGTCAGAGCAGTGAGAAGTACCCATGGTGGCTTCAACGTCTTCATAAGGAAGTTCTCACTGTGAAGCTTCAGAAAGCAGCATTCCATACAGTGTTGGACAAGGCCCTACCCACCTCTGAGTATGAGCTGACATGTGAAGAAGTCCATGGTATAAATAAAACATTTACACTTTCTTTATAGTTCATAGTAGGTTAATTAAGATTGAATTGATGTGATATTAGAATTAGTTTATTTAGTTTATTATTGTTATTAATTTGGATCATCTGTAAAACATTAATAGAAGTCTTCGTGCAGAAGTTCAATTCTTGCCTGAATTTTTATTAGATTTGCAAGAAGTACCTTAATACCAATGTTAAAAATCAGCATATATATATATATATCATTCTCTTAAAATGTCAATGTTCCAAAGGTTCTCATCATTTATATATGATAAGTTGTTAAATTACTTTTCTTTCCAGGTTTGTTTCAAGAATCTTCTGACAAAGCTCCAGTGTCTTTCCTGTATGCCAAACACAGTGGTGACCAAGACAGAGACATGAGATTAGACTGGCCTAGGTACAGTATCATAATTGTTGTAAAAGTAGTAGCATTTTATACTTATGTGTACTATATATACATACATTTTGGTAATAAAACACAATAAACAATTGATTGGAATCAAGTTGTAAAGATAGTGATCATATAATATAAGCTGGCTTATGGCATGAGTTGCAGTTGAACTATATGCGAGGAAAAAGTAGACCACACTGCTTGAGTTGGAGTAAAAAGGCTGATTTATTATTAAGTTACTTATTCTTTTATAATGCACATTGTTATATAAAATTGGTCTCTTATTATTAAATAATATTCAAACCAAACAGTAAGTGAAAGCAATTGATTTTAATAAATGGTAAAACAGAAACTGCTTATGAGTGGGATATCAGGAAAACAGATGCTCTGTTATGTGACAACCTATTTCTTACTTATTTTCAATTTGAAAAAGTGAGGAGATTATAAGAAAAAAGATGGAAAATTATGTAAAACCATTTTCATTTCTAACTTTTAGTTTAAAAATGGATATAATTGAAACAGAATTTTATTGCATTTATGCAGGATATGCACATAACTTACAAATACAAACTTAAATAAATTGACTATGTATTTTAAAAACTTTTCTAGGCTGCTAATCAGAATCAACCACAAGGTGCATTCCGTTCTTGAAGAGGTCCAAGGCATGGAGGCCAGTATGGTGGAGGACCATTATGATTCCCTCAATGGTGCCTGTGGCTTTGCCAAGGCTGAGCCAACCCCCTTCTCTGCCAAGAAGGTCATGTATGAGAGTGAAGAGGTACGTATAACTTGGTCCTCCTCCATCATGAAAGTTTCTCTAAAGCCCATTTGTTAACATTTCCAATCCTTGTAAATGTTGTGGTTGACCAGTGACAGTTTTTTTTTTTTTTTTTTTTTTTTTGATCTGATTCATCAAAAACATTTTTCATTTTCAGTCAAAAGTATGTTTTGCATGCAAAAGTTAATAGAACTAGAAAGATACAACCTATAGGAGGGATAGAATAGGGCTGTAGTATTGTATATTGGTATTTTTTGTAATAATGAAATAATCTCTGGGGTATGTGCTACTGAAAGTAGTTGGTGTGAAACTTTAGGATAGTGCTGTTCTATGAAGTTACTTTGTTATTTGATGTCTTGCATGATGTCTATGTCTGCTTATTTCAAAATAATGTTTCTGCATTTTATATTCTTATAAACAAAAGTAAGTTAAGTTGTCATATTGCCTTGTTAAATGAATAATATTATGAGCCACTCTCCCATTTTCTCCATTAGTTTGAGAAACAAGATGAGCATTGTGAGAACAATGATGCAAAGGGAAAGCATCATGATTTTGTAGATACCAAATCACACACCCTCCCAGAAGAGGTAATCGTGGCCTTGGCTCTGTGACTTGCTGCTTAATTTGCAACTGGCATTGGCATCTTTGACATCCAGCTTAATATTTCTCCTTGCTTTCAGGGAATTATATCAAAGTTCAATTCTCAGTGTGATCCTGATTTTTGCACCAATCCTTTTAAAATATAGATAAATTAGTTATACTCAAATCAAAAGAAGTATGTTCTTTGAATCTCTTTTCTCTTTAAGAATTCCCACTGTCAACATATACCCACTGTCTATTATTGCTTCTTTTCAGAATACACTCTTCCTAATGACAGCTTTGCAACATATGAAATGATAATCAAATAAGATTTGATTTTGACAATACAAAATTACCTTTGTTTTCAGAATGCACCAATAACAATTTGTTATGATTATAGGAGATATCAAGCAAGCCAACTGATTTTAAATGATTTGATGACCCTTTCCTTTTGTCACTTCATTAATATTGCACGTATAAAAGCTTTAATATATAGAACCCAAGCCCCTGCAAGTACGAACATATTTAACTATAATTTTTTTTACTATATCATTTCCTCATTGTTTATTTTGATATATTGTTATCAGGATTAATTTAATAAATATTGTACACCATCTACAGGCATTAATGCATGACTCCTTTATTGCATGTATTTCAGACTTGAATGTTTTGGATTGTGTGACATAATCTTAGATTTTTTGGTTGATTTGAGAATTTTAAAAGTTATACATATATGTTTAACTTTGAATGTTAACATATTAATTAATTTTTTTCAGATGGTAATGCCAGGGGATGCTGCAGAGATGAAGCATTTCCGTGACAAGGTTGTCAGCAATGTGGAAATGGAGGTAGAACTGACTGTGCCTCAGGTCAGCATTATTCTGCCAGACAAGAACTTCTTTGAGCTGCTGTACAACAGGTTAGTGTTTTTTCCTCAGACTTGTAGGGATATACCTAATAATGGATACTTTTAGAAAAATTGGAAGATATAGTTTTAAATTGTTAAAATACAAATTAGTTTGAATAATGTCTCTTTACAAAATATCTTAAAACTGAATTGCATTTTGCTTGAAATGTGACTAAAGCTTTATGGATATAAGGTGTTAACTTAACACAACCTTATTTTAAAAAAATGGTAATTCATCAAAAAATCTTTTATTCCATAGGCTTAACAGTGACCTGTTGCTATGGGAACCACTAGCACCACCAACATGGAAGCCACCAGATATTTATGGAGGTCACTCTTGTCAACAAAGTGTGGGCCTTAACCTGGCTGACCACCTGCTGAACCAGATGACTGGGGACAAGTTCATTATGTGCAAATCTGCTGCTGTCAATGGTAAGCTGCCTGAGTTATTTGGGGAAAGGCGTGTTTGTGTGTGGGGGGGGGTATACCAGACTGAATGAAGCGTAAATACAATGTAAATGTGTGTTACTGATTTTATGAGGAGGTCAGAGGAGGGTGTAAAGCAAATAAATGAGCAGAGACATTTGCAAGTCTGTGTTCTCTTTGACTTCAAAAGTTACGTCAACCACCAGTTTAAAAATTGTTTTTTTGCGTTTTCCCAAATTTTCCAAAGGCAGTTATGATTGACAATTTCATTTTTCCTTAGATTTAATGACTTGTCTTTTTGTAATTAAAAAAATCTCTGTAGGATGAATTTTATGACCTGTTTTCTTCATAAAACATGTCTTTGATATTTGATATTTTCCCAGATTCTGACTCTGACTCTGAAGAAAGTGGGACATTTTACTCTGTGACAGATCCAAAAGTAAGACAGAGAAGAAAACAGCTCCAAGAGCAGAAGAAACTTCCCAGCAAGATTTGCTTCACACTTAACATATCTAAGGGCAGGTTAACTGCCTGTGTACCCATCAAGGTAAGTATTGCCTTGGTTTGTAGTTTACTTACACCAATTTAAAATTCTAAAATTGTGCCTAAGAATAATGATTGATCTTTTACTTCAAAGTTAAGTTCACTTTTTGTTTGCTATTATTAAGGAGTGTGAATTTATTTAAAAAAAAAAAAAACATGCCTAGCATTTTATTTTTCAGAAAGAAGATGCCAGCATCTGTCCTGAGAAGCATGGTCAGCTACTGTTGGACATAGAGGATGGGTCAGTGTTTGCAGTGACCAACTATAATGGTGACCCCTCCCTTAGATACCTGTATGTTACCTCCAATAGGGCAGAGGTCTATCATAATGGTATGTGCGTTAAGAATAACTCAATAGCCTGGGGCCAAGCCATTAGAAGGTTATTTGGTGAATTAAGTTTTCTCCATATTTTACTTATTAAAATATTTCTCTACTGTTATTAAAGATGTTTTAAGTTCAGTATTATCAAAAATCCAAAATATGTGGTAACTTGTGTCTTTACTATAGAAACAGTTGTACGAATTTTATACCATGTTACATAAGTATCCCTGGCTTAATGAATCCATTTGCCTGTAAATTAATAAGTAAGTTCTATATTTGAACACATCTGATTGTTTATCCGCAGGCTGCACTGACATCCCCAGGGAATGGCCACCAGCAGATGAACTCTCCCTTGACAAGGTAGTCCCCCAGCATCTCCACCCCACTATCTACCCCACAGAGAATGGGGCAGCCTGCACCACCATGGCTGGCCAAGCGGGCAAAGGAAAGGACAGTATAGACATGCTGTCTGTAGCTGTTAAGATTAACAAGGTGGCATCACAAAAGGTAGAGTTAAAAAATTTTGTAAAGTAAGAAGTATGGCTTATATCAGTTTTTAACCCTTTGGTCAATTGTAATTTCAGTCTAGACTAGCCAAACAGATATATTGTACATTAGATTTCTTCTAAGATGTTGGTAAGAATGAAGTACTCAAGTGCTGCATTATAGAAATGTTCCACAAGGGAGGTTAAGTCTCAAACTGTCTGTGCTGTATCCAGTACTGCAGTACTTTGATTTCTGTTCCAGAATTTTCTGGTAGCTCTTGAGGTCAAGGGTGGAACCTTACAACACCGGATGGCCCCTACAGGTCAGGGGTGGTTTGGACAGATATTGGAGTTTCTGGATGTGAAGGACTACCCTGTGCTTGGGTATACATTACCCACCATTGTCACAGAGCTTCATGTGTATCTACGAGGATGTGCAATTGATTACAGGTACAGCTTTGGTGCATAGCACAGTAATGTATACTTCTGGTGTCTGATTCTTAGAAGTGTGGCATCCCACCAGGAATTATACTGACAGCTACTGTAACGCAGACTATTCATTACAATACAAAAAATTACATGTGCTGCAATGCATTGAGTTACTTTGCTGTATTTATAAAGCTTTTTCTGTGGAATCAGTAATCAATCTGTGTTGAGAATATTTGGCTATTTTAAAGGTTTAAGAAAAAAGGGAAACTCAGTGGAGGTTTTTCTATAGTTTGTAAATGTAGTGCTCATTTTTTAAGAAATAATTATATGATACAAAGGAGTAGAAATGTTTTCGAGGGGTATACTTTATAGTTTCCAAATTCATTGTTATTTTTCAGGCCTCTGTACTTGCCATATCGTGCCATGGTGACAGTTGAATCCTTCAGTGTTTCCAGCAACATTATAGCTGATTCTTGCATGTCTTTACTTAGGTACATCTATAATATTTTTTAAACCCTAAATGGTAAATGTTGGGATAAGTGTTTGGTATTCTTAGAAGAATGATGCAAAGCAACCTGTGTGTTATCTTCCTGATTTTAAATAGGAGCATATCGTTCATGCTTCATTAAATTACCGGTCAGGAATTGTATTAAAGATGACAAAATTGTTAGTATTTTTCATTGATGACGAGTAAGTATTTGTATAAGACGATAATTGTTTAACACTGTTTAACATGTTAGGTTTCTGGTTGATGATGCAGCCTTATATTTATCGGACAAGTGCAATGCCAATAGAGTTGATCTAAAGAAAAGTAAGTTGACTTGTACTATGATGATTTGTTGAAGTAAAGATTGTATATTCATTACAAGTGGTCCTCTTTTTATTTGTTTGTTGTGTGTGTATGTGTGTGTGTGTTCATGAGCAACTACATTGTAATCACCAGATTAGAGGTAAAATTTTAGTTTCAGTGTTTGACATGCTAGAAATGTTACAGAATTTATGTGTATAATTGTTTCTGAAGTCTTTCTTAATGTGTTCTTTAATCCTGTCCAGATTATGTCTGTGTCTTGGACCTTGGAAACTTTGAGCTGGCTCTACGCACAACTGCTGGAAAAGATTTGGTAAGGATTTCTTACCATTTAGTCTTAATTTTAGTTCAGACAATAAATATAATTACACATGTTAAACTTATATTAAAGAATTATCCATATTTTATTTAATTTTCAGTTGATATTCACAGCCATATTCCCCAATCCAGTACCAGCTGAATAAGAAATTAAGACAAAATTAATAAAGGAGAAATTCTGAATATTTAGAAAATACATTATGCTGTGTTAAAAACTTAAAAGAAGAGAATTTCCACCTGTTCCATTTGTCTCTCCATTCTTCCAGAGGTACCCCAAGACTGACCTCAGGGCTTCCTGTAACAAGCTGCACATTCGTAGCTGTTCAGACAGCTTCAGGGCACTGCTGAAGATGATCTCATACCTCAGTGAGGATGGGGATCTGGTGCTGGACAGTGCTGATATGGCTGAGGAGGAGGCAGCTGATGGACATTCGGTCAGTTATGGGATGCAAATAAAGATATGGAATTGATGACTTGGCATTACATCAAGGTGTTACAAAATTGAAATCTATAGAATAAGCTGAAAAAGTATACACATGATCAATTTGAATGAGGTAAAGATAGAATTATAATGGGTAATTCAAGGCACTCTTTCTGCAACAGTTTTAACTCCTGGAAATTTGAGGTATGTGTGAGTGTAAATGTTACTTGGATAAAATTGTATCTATATCTATCACATTTAATAGTGGAATGTAAAATGTCCTCCTGCATGCATGACATTTTCTTTACAGAGTACTGCTCAACTTCAACCTATGTCCCAGTTGAGTCAGTCTCACCTTGAGAAGATGAACACAATGATGGCAGATGCAATGCAGGAATCCCAGAGTTCTAGAGTTGATATGGAATCCAGTATAGGTGAGTACCATAGTTACAATATTATGCCATATTAATTCCACATAATATNCTCCCCCTTCTTTTTCCTTCCCATACGAATGCTCTTACTCCAGCTGGTGGTACAATACCAGGAGGCGGTATCGCCTCTCTGATCCTCTAGTTTAACTACAAATTTATGTACAAAAGCATAGCAAAGTCTTTTGAATTGCAGATCTTTTGTTAAATTGAAATATGTGAAGAAAGGTCACAACTTGGTGGTCCAGTACATCTCCGTACAAGATAAACTGACATGATAGAGCAATAAGTCTTTTCACATGTCCCCTTTTCTTTTAGCCCAAAGATGGGAAACCAGCTATCAGGGTTTTCACATCAGAGCCACTGAAGATAGTGGACAACCACTTCCACAGACCACTGGGCAAGACTGACCAACTGAAGGCCCCTGACCACTTCCCAAATGCTGTCTACAGATACACTCTCAAAGAACTGTCTCTGGTGTGGTACATGTATGGGGGCAGGGACTTTGGAGACCATGATAAAGGTGTGTGTGCATGCAGCTGGCAAATGTGTTTATTGTTTAATCAGACAAATAAATAGTATAATGCAGACAAATAACATGGTTGTATTCTCTCTCTTTCTCTCTCACAGGAGAAAAGGTTCACAGGTCTTCCTCCTCATCATCATCATTAGGTAAAGCTGGTAAACCAGGCAAAGCTAACTGGCACTCACAAGGAGGGCCAGGCAGAGATAGCCAAGTGCTGATGGAATTACAGATGAACAAGGTATTTGTAAATCTCTCTCTCTCTCTCTCTCACTCATGCACCCACAGTAACAGATATATAGGCATACAAACTCACACATACTCAAAAAGATTCATTCACTCATGTATACATCTTTGTTTACAAATAGATATTAGATGATACACACCTGGACATATTTGCCTTCCAGATTCGCTTACAGCACGAGGTGTATCCAGAAAACACAAGAGAAGCATCTCGGCAGATACTCATCATAAACCAAGTAGAGATACGGGACCGACTGGCATCCTCTCAGATAAATAAGTTCCTGTACCAGTACACATCTGAGGCAACACCAAGACAGACACATGCTAATATGGTAAACATTTTAATGCTTTGTACATGTTGATCATCAGCTTTTATATATTCTTTCATTTCAGTTGGTCATCAAATTTGTGATGCTTTTCTTAGGTAAAATTTATTTATTTATTTATTTATTTATTTATTTATTTATTATTAAAATTAATTATTATTTATTTATTGAAAAGAGCTTCCATTTGTGTTTTTAATTCATAATTTTAATCTAGTTCTTATGTAAGATTGATAAAGAGTATTTAAGCATCAACTTACATGCTGGAGATAGTTCCATATTAAATTTTGTGTTTTTTAGGTATTTCTCAAAGCAATGCATATCAGACCTGATTTGACTGTGCTAAGCCAGAAAGAGTGTTCACTGAGAGTGTCACTTTTGCCTTTGAGGCTGAACATAGATCAGGTTGGTGGGACGATTGTGGGAAGTAGGAGTTCAGAAATTCTTGTATTATGTATTATATGTATAAATGGTTAACAATGTTTACAAACTTCTCACCTTGTATCCAGAAATTCTCAAATGATTTGTAAATTTGATTTTAATTGGAGGAATGCATTTCTATTCATCTTGGACTGTCTCTTCTCTTTTAGGATGCCTTGATCTTCCTGAGAACATACATCAACGAAATATGTGATATACAGCCCAGCCCAGCAGAGACTGCCCCAGGATTCACAGACAGCTCCAGCAGCCATTCCTCTACTTCTTCTCCTGGAGCAGATCTGCCTATGTCCAGCCCTGGTAAGGGAGCGTCCAGCCAGACTGGTCAGCAGCCTGTTATGGGTATGGCTATGGATGACTCACAAGAGATGACCAGTTCTGATGCCCAGGAGTTAATGGTTGTGTTTGATGAATTGAAGGAGGAAGCAGGAGAGAAGGAGACTTCCTCTGGGGCTGCTGGTCAGCCTGTCTATTTCAAGTAAGAAAATCATAAATTGAATTGAGTGAATAATGTACAACAATAATAATAATAATAATAATAATAATAATAATAATAATAATAATAATAATACTCAGCCTTGCATTAGCAGTGTCAGAAAGACATCTTTTATTTTAGGTTAAGAAAATTAATTTTTATCATGGGGTTTTTTTTTTTTTTTTTTTTTCAGTTTCAGGATAATGAATATTACAACTATAAATTTTGCTTTTGACAATTTGAAAGGGGACTGTGTTACAATTTATTTCCAGGAACTTCATATTCTCCCCTGATGTTCCAATAAGGCTAGACTACCATGGCAAAAGACTGGACATGGCTCATGGCCGCTTGGCTGGACTGCTGGCCGGACTGGCACAGCTTAACTGCTCAGAACTCAAGCTGAAGAGGCTCAATCATAAAGCAGGGTAGAATACATTTATTGAAGCATCTTTGATAGATGCACATGATTTTAATGCTAAATTAATGAATAATTTACGATTTAATTAATGGGTTAAAGTACATTGTTTGAGTCCCTGTTGAATTGTCAAATTATATGTAATATGTCAAAGTGATGCTGTAGTGAATACTTAGTTTTAAATATGTGAATGAGATATATGTTTGAGAATCTTGATTACTTCATGCTGCTTGATTTTACAATGCCAAGTTTTGATGTCAGTTTTCTGAGACATGAGTAAGTCTACATTTTAATTCCATTTACACTTGACTATGGTTAATCTGAATATTGCATTTAAAAAATTTTTTTTTTTTATTTCAAAAGCTGTCTCTAAAATGTTTGTATTAAAGTTACTGACAGTTCAACTGTTATTTCAGCCATCTTGGTGCAGAACGTGTTGCAGCTTATGCCCTGAAAGAATGGCTGCAGGATATCAAAACCAACCAATTGCCTAGCATTCTTGGGGGTGTTGGTCCAATGCATACTTTGGTTCAGTTGGGTAAGTCGTACATGAAGATTTTTAAAGTAAAAAAAGTAAGGATTTTTTCACATTTGTCAATTGATAAGTATTACATTCAAAATTTTAGATGTTAAAAAATGCTTTCGGCATATCAGCAAAATTGGAGATCATACAGAGAGGCTTATTATGATAAGAGATGGCAATTAAAATCTTTCAAACTCCTATACATGTTTTGAAGTAGTGATTCAATTTGAAGGAAAAAAATTAACTTGACATTTAGCATTTAGGGAAAAGTATTGAAATATTAAGGAAAAATGTTTATATGGAGTTATTTACAAAAAAAGGTCACCATTACTTAAAAGATCTGTTGAGAAAAGTTGAATCAACTTGGAGCTAGTTAAAACATCTTTTGCAGTAACTGAAATACTCCATGAGATAAAAAATTGCGAAAAGTTGACTGAAATTCTTATTTGTGTTATACTCATTTGCACCTATTTCAAGACTAGGTCAATGCGGGCTCTCTTTTTAAGTTGCCATTTTACATTTGTTCTATATTTTCAGTACAAGGAATTAGGGACCTGTTTTGGCTGCCATATGAGCAGTATCAGAAAGATGGCAGGATAGTACGTGGTCTGCAGCGAGGGGCCAGTTCCTTTGGGACATCCACAGCTATGGCAGCTCTAGATTTGACAAACAGACTTGTGCAATCTGTACAGGCAAGTCACAAGACATGCTTTTAGATATTAAATTTACCAACTCATGTAATATGCTGACGCCTGTAGGAATGCACAGACTAAAAATTTTAATTTAAAAGTATCTCTGAAGTGGATGGAAGGTTATTGATTTAATGCACAATGAGCAATGTAAGCACTGAGAACATAGTCTGATTATGAACCTCACTCTAGTTAATAATTTGTGGTTACCCCAGTCTGTCAAGTCTGATAATTCCAAAAACTTTCATGACATTTTCAGTATGTAGCAGAATTAACTTATGTGATGGTGTCCCCTGTGCCCAGCATACGCCAGGGTCAAGTGCTGCGTCCACGCAAACCTCTCCAGCCTGCTGACCTCAGGCAAGGCGTGTCCAATGCTGCCATGGTGTTTAAAGAGGTGATCTTTGGTTCTCAACATAAGTCTTATCTTAGCCAAACATAGCTTGATACACAAATGAGTTTTTTATTTTAAATTTTGAAAACCTGACAATAACAATAACATTTACAATTTATTCACATTTTGTTTTCTTTAAACAAGTCCAATCTTTAGAGTATATGTGGCAGTCTTGATATATGATAAAAAGCCAAAATTTCATTACCCACCTATCTACACAACATACTTCTAGTTCAGAAGTTCACTCCCCCATTCAATTCAAACATGTTAAGTATGTACTTTCTATACTCCAGGGTTTCACTGAGACAGCAACAAATATAATCCGTGCAGCATCAGAGGAACATGACAACTATGGCTACACTGGTGCCGTAGGTGGTGTCTTGCGCCAGATTCCAGGCACAGTGGTGCAACCGGTGATCATTACAGCTGAGGCCACTTCCAACATTTTAGGTGGGATGAGGAACCAGCTGGTGCCTGATGGTAGAAGGGAAGCTAGTGATAAGTGGAGGGCTGCTGAAGATGACTGAAGTGTTTTTTTTTTCTTTATTGCACTGTGTGAGATTTGCTTATTTCAGCAATGTCATTTAATTTTTTTTTTCAAACTTGCTGAATCTAATGAATTGTTTTTTTTTATTTTATTTTTTATTTTTTTTTTTTTGTCAACATTTATAAGAGAGATTATTTCCTGTTCAAATATACATGTCACAGAAAAATTATTGACATAAGTTTTTATCTAGAAATACTTAGCTGGAAATGAAAATGTATTTGGTCTTATCTTTTCAATTTATTATGTTAAATTTATATCTTAGACATTCAAATTCCCTGAATCAGATCTAAGGTTTTTAGAAAGTTGAATTTATAGATACAGTGATGTTACTAGATCTGCATCTAGATCCACAGTCATGTGGTGTTGGAATGAATCCCATCAATCAATTTATACAACATTAAATCTAAGAAAAAGAATATTGAAAAGATAGTTGATTTGTCTCCTTTGATGGTATCATAAATAAAACCAGTACATTGCTTTGTGTTGAATTATACTACACATCATTCATTAGGTTATATGTGGAAAACAATTCATCTTATCATAATTGTGATATTTCATTCTAAATCTGACCACTTTCATTATTTTCAGGTTAAGTGTTCTTATTCATAAATTTGTTAAAACTGAAAATGAGTGATAATAAGACCACATTTGAAATTTTCAAATGTTTAGATAATTTGTATCCAGAGCACTGATGAGACTTTTTCGGACTTTTGTTGGAATTCTGACTTTTTCAGGGCCATTTGGGTCATTCTTGTGAATTTTGTACCCTGGACACCTGGCCAATTTTCCTGCTTTTTCAGTGAGGACTGGTCTCATCCCTGCAGAGGGTAGTTATTGCATTACATTTCAGTAGAGTGATATTAATGTGTTAAATGAAAAAAAGACATTTGTAATATTGGCAAACTACTTGTTAGCTTTGAAAACAACCATGACAAAAAAGTTTATATATGACTATATTGGTGCATCTCTTAGAATCCAGAATGAGAGGTACCAGTAAAATTTTAGATTTATTTAACTGCTCTTTTTTACATATCTGTTTGAAGTCTGTTATTTTATTGTGCAATTTAATGAAAATAAAAACAAATTTGCATGTGTGAAAAAGTTGTAAGTGTGCATATTTAAAGATATAGGGAAGTGAGATATCAAACAAAATAATAGTTTTCTTTTATGTATGAGAGAAAAGTGATAATGTATATAACACTGTGTAGTCATACTATTTAAGAAGTGAATAGTTTTTGTTACATTAAAATATAGTAATACTTAATATATTTTCATCCCAGAGTGACTTTTGCTGATAAATAAAAAAAAGCTTAAGGGCACTTGCCCCTCATTGTAATTGCTATCTCTTACAAGTCAAAAAATGTCTTGGTGCTTATACATACTTAGGTATCCCATTGACAGTGACTATGGATGTTGTAAGGTGTATGTGATGGTAGACTTTTCACATCAACTTTGTCAAACCAGTTTTGATTCAGTTTAAGGTGTGTTGTTAGTGAACTAAACCTGTCTGTCTGGCTCCAACTGACCAATTCACCCCAGCATTCATTTAGACTGAAGATTATTATTATTATTATTATTTGCAGATTATATCAGCTGATAGATACTGTCAATTAACTAATTCCTAAGTGGTTAAACTTTCTTTGCAATATATAACTTAAGTTGTCTCTAACTTATCATATCAGAAGCAAGCTGTATGGTTAGGTTCATGTGTGATTGTGCTTGCGTGGAGAGAACTAGCCTATCTATAAAATTGTACTGCATATGTACAGCTTTTTAATTTGTTGTCAGGTTTTTATTAATTGCTTGCAACAAGTAAAACCAGTGAAATAGCATTTGCAAGGAAAAGTGACAATTTAAAGCCTTAAATAAAATTGCCTAAAATTTAAAATATTAAGCTGCTTTGTTATATTATAATAGATGTTGTTTGGTTCTTGTTTTTTGAAAGGTGACAAAGGCGAAATCAGTTTGTCCTATAAGATAAAAGGAGATGCTATTTGAAAAATATATGGAAAAATCTGACATTAAAGGATAACAACTGTTCATGAGTTATCCATAATTCACAATAAATGCATTGTAAACAGCTCATAGAAATATAATTAATTCCATTTTACCACCAAAAATGGTGGTTAACACAATTATTCTGGAATTTGTGCTTGCCATCACATCATGTGACCTCCATGGATGGCTACACTGTAAGAATCTCTTAAGAGAATATTACAGAAAACCAAACTTTTTGACAAAAAAAAGAGACTAACTTTGAATGTGGGAATGGATCCATAAACCATTGGTAAGTGTGGAAAATTGTCCTTTACCCCAGGAAAATCCATTTTTTGGCCAAAATGAACAGTTGTTATCCCTTTAAGTAAATGAAGTATTGTTCGCTTTTGATAATTATGAATCATGGAACGGTGAACCCAGACCACGAGCGTCAGATAGAGGACGCTGGAAGCACCCCTCTACTGTCAGCATTAAAAATGAATTTCCAATGCCCTCTGAAACACGGGGTGGAAAAATCTAAGTTTGTGCTATGAGTAGTAATTTGAGCGTTAGTGAGCAACAACAACGATCGCACAATGCATTTTTACTTTTGGATAAGCACAGGTTGGTAGAGATGTGGAAAAGAAATGAATTTTTGCAAACTGCATGCAAAATACGGAAAATAGCCATTCATGCGCTAAGTTCAAGTAATTGGGGCCTACATAAGGAAATAAAAAACGCTTTACGTGAGACATTTTAAATTCCGTTTTTTTTTCCTACTGCTATTTGTTTGCGATTTCATAAAAAAAAAAGACCCAACTATCCCAAAGCACCGAAAGCAGACGAAATTATTTGACTTTCGCAGCTGCCCCACATTGCACGAGCATATTTCAGTTGTGTCCGTACATCTGTGATGAGGGGTGGCGTCAGTTCATGTCAGATAAACATGCTTGCAAGTAGCACGAAAATTCATGTGTTAGCACTCCTATTGACGATTCTGATATGTACTGTCTGTGTTAGACCAGACAGTACATATCAGAATCGTCAATAGGAGTGCTAACACATGAATTTTCGTGCTAGCTTGCAAGAGGCGCGTCAACAAGAACATTTGAGGCTTTCTTGTCTTGGACTAACATTTAATTCTAAATTAAGGCCTAGGGTAGGCCTTACGCATAGTTTGGCCTATGCACAGTTATTTACTTCCTTGGCTTATGATACCATGGGGGAGGGGGGTCATTTTTTTGGTGTTCCCGTTATCGTTACCTATAGGCCTATCTCATCCTCACTCACCCACAACACCTTAAATTAGGGAAAAAGTAATTTTAGGGACCCGGTATTTACACTAAGATTTTAAAAATTATGTTTCATTTATGGCATTTTTACCAGCGGGGAGTATTGATGTGGGCTTCAATAAATTAATAGCCTATCAGCCGGTAGGCCTATAACTTAATTATAGGTCAACTTGCCCGACTTTCTGTAATTGGTCCATCTTTGGATTAGGAGACCGCATTTATTTATAATCAACGACCACGCCCTCTGACACAAATAAAAAAATTCGGTTTTAAATGCAAACATTAGGCTAAGTTTTGACCCTCTTCAACTTGTAAACAAGTAGGCCTACAGGTAGGCTATAAGTAGGCCTACTAGACACGATTTCGACGGTAAAACAATGTTGAAGAATACAGATACGTCTGTTTTTCTAATTTATTGAGAATAGAATTATAATAAGTTTAAACATTATTCGCTTTGTCCCAACCGCTATTGTGAACGTTGAGCTTTGTTGTAAACGCTGGTGTTTGGGCTACTAGGTCTATTTTAGGATTCCTTTGCAGTACGTTCAGCAACATCTGCCACGTGCCCGCAATGCACAATGGGTAATGGTAGACCACGTGACGGCTTGGAATAGAACAAAAAGATGGCGGACCGCTGAGGGAGTCCGCATTATATTACAAATAACGCTGGAAATACAGACATTCAGAAAAGCACAGTGGAAAAGACGGGTTATCCGATTGTTCAAGGATGGCGCAGTATCATTGCAATTACTGCCAGACAAACATTTTGGACGTCCGAGTACGCTGTGCGGAGTGCGATGATTTTGACCTTTGTCTGCAGGCAAGTGTGGTGACGTCATGTCTGAAGCATAACTAAAATGCCGGTTGAAGAACGGCAGTTTAATAGTGTAATGATGTACGACATGTACTCCACAACCAAGTATATTCCTACCCATGTATTATAATGTTCATTCTCTCTTGTAATTTACAGTGCTTTTCTTGCGGCGCTGAGGTTGGAATCCACAGAAAAGACCACAAATACCAAGTAATAGTAAGTAGACAAAGCTTTCATAGAGGGCGCCAGGTGACTGTAAACATCCAGGGCACTTCCTGTTACAGATTTGTCTCCAATTTAACAGTCGGAGAAATGTTAGCGGGGGATAATGCTGTTTTAAAATTTTAAAGTTTTGGCTTTGAGACCATAACTCCACATTTCTTTTCTCTGCTGATCGAAATATGGTGGGATTTTGTGTCGGGTTTTAATGGAAAAATTGGTCGTCATGCCCTCCCCCCCCCATTGCCTCAGTTTTGTGTCCTACATGCTGGGTCCTCTTACTGCATGTAAGGTCTCAATTCACCCAGGGTTTCAAGCTCTAGTTGCTAAAAATATCCACATCCTGACAAAACTGTGTCATCTGTTGCACATTGTAAAAATACATTTCGCGTTAAAATTGTATTTGTGTCTGTTCAGGCACCAGCTTTATAGTCTTGATCTTAGTATTCCAGTTTGAAATGTGCTGATTCTACTGTTGATGATTGATAACAGTTGATGATCATGTGATATTGTAAACAAACGACTCTCTTAAAGAATTAATTTTTAAAAAGTTTATAAGTAAATCATAGCTTTAGGAAAGAAACCGATCAATTTTGCTTTATTACATTTGGTACAATTGGAACATTTTGAGAAATGCTTTAATGTATATCATATATTTTTAGGACAATGGTAGCTTTTCAGTTTTTACACCTGAGACACAAAAGTGGACAGCTGTAAATGAGTCAGTGCTTTTAGATGGTGTGGAACACTTTGGATTTGGAAACTGGTAGGTTAAGTGAAATAAGGGGTCATTTTACCCTGATGTAAAGCATGATTTAGTTCATTCACTTAACTCCCATAAAAGTAAATCTCACCTTTCAAGCTGCATTAAGTATATCCCAGATAGAGAATTGGAAAAAATAGTAGGAAATCTTATTGTAAGAGTCTACATAATTTCTTGTAACTGATGGGACGTATATACATATTGATTAATTTAACTCATTGTTAAGAATAGTATAAATTGCATCAGTACAGCTGAGCATACACAGTAACACTTGTAGCATGTGGCAAGTCTTATTGACTGATGAGAAGCAATGATTCAATATTTTTTGTAAGGGGTAGTTCTTGCATTATTTTGTAGATGCCTAAAGATGGCAAATAATTTTTAGAGCCATAAAAATAATGAATTGGTTGAATATCTTAGAAAATTTAAAACTTAACATTTATCAAAGTATTGCAATTTTATGAACATATGCATGTTGACATAAACCAAGACTTAAAATGAAAAATATTTTTAAATAATTCCAATAAGAAAAACAAAGTAGAATGAAATGCTCATGTTTCAGTGATTGGGAATTTGAATATATGAATATATGAATTTAATTTTATCACAGCAATATTGACTGGAAATATCCAGGCCCATCGTCAGGTATCTGCCTAGAATTCAACTTAGACTTAACATCTGCTTTCAGGGAAGACATAGCTGAACAAGTTGGCCACAGTACACCAGAGGGTAAGACTTTGTTTGAATTTGAATGTGGGCCAAACATAAGTCATTGTTTCTGTCATACAATTGTGATTGTGTTTTGTTAAATTCAAGCAATAAGCAATAAGTGTATTCATTATAGTGTGTTGAGATTAAATTCGATGTCTACATGATGGAATGGATTTAATTTCAGAATGCTGTGAACATTATTTTACATTTTATGTAAAGGGAAATATAGGCAAAGGTAAGACCAAAATCTTTTTACATTATGTTGCTCAGATATATAATATTTCCAATAATTTCCTTTAAAAACTTTGTACTTATTTTATTTAGAATCAGATATTCCGTGGAAAGTATTATTTCATCAGTAGGAACATTTAGAATCTAACTTCATTAGATGAAAATAAACCCTGTGCTTCGTTTGGAAGTCCTCTTTTAGACCTGAATCATTAATCATTGAATCATTAGAAATAATGTTTATATAAAAAAACTGTGACTTCAAAAAAAAAAAGTCTCTTCTTTCCAGCCACTCTTCCAAATGAAAATACCACAAAAATAACTGACCACACTGGTCCAGATAGTGGGCCTTTATCACCAAGTCTTACTACACCTCTTCCAAGTGTTGATATTCCTCAAAATGAACAGCAAGAGCTGGGGTACATGCCTCTTAGGGATGATTTTGAAAGGGTGAGTCTTGTGGAGGGAATTATTGTTAGTAGTGTACATATTAGCTGTGTAAATGTATTTTATTAAGTGTTTCTTTGGAGCACAAACTTGTCATCATAATATATAATGTAATGTATGTACATTGAACTGAACCAATACATCCAAAAATGTCTGTCAGTAAATAACAGGTAATGGAGCAATTATATGTGGAATAATTATATGTGTATATTCATTTTCAATGTAGGAATATGACAATGATGCAGAGACATTAGTCAGCAACCTCAGTTTAAATTATGATGATGAAGATGTTGATAATAGTAAGTGAAGTGATTATTTGATGAAAAGAAGTTTATTTAAGTTGGTGAGATTTGTGCATTGCTAAAAAGAATAGGAGTTTTTAGTAAGTTTAGGTTTTAATGATGACAGGCACTTTTGATTTTGAAATATTTACAAAACGGGTATTTTTCATAGTTGTCACAATAGCATCATCATATGGAGTGCCCACAGGTCTTAAGGATATTGTCACCCTTAGCCCAGAACTCCTTATTTACTGCCTTACATGCATTCTTTTGGGTGATAAATAAATCGTCAGTGTTCACTGACAAAATTAATTAGCATTTATACATATGTCATCTTACAGGTGAGGTCATAATTGTGATTTGGGGGTAAAAAACTGAAAAATCGGTTTCTCAAATTTCTCTTTTACCTGAGCTCTCACGATCACCATTTCAACGCCAATTTAATGACACCATTTAGTACTCCAAAACCCTGCCAGCAATTTTTCTTAAAATTCTTAGTTCAGATTTTTATCGTTGATAAAGTAAAATAATGCCTTTGTTTAATGAAAATCTGTAACAAATACAGTTAAACCGAAATGACAGCACGGGATCGTTGCCTATACACTCCCTGTCAACTGTTCCAATTTTTGTGATAAAATCTTATTCAGGGATGAAGTTACGCCCCATACAGATTGCTATCTCACCTCAAAATAGAAAGGTGTTAAATTGACAGTTAAAGTTTTGGGTTGCCTATTCTTAAACATTGCAGTGAAAAAATATAAACGCCAACATTTTATATTTTCGAGTTTTTTTTATTGTTTTAAATCGGCACAAAGATAGATGCATTATTGAATAATTAGATGCAGAAAAAAAAAAAATTTTTGGTATCTGGATGAAAGGGTAACAATATCCTTAAGATGTTACTCCTCATCACTGAAAGGTGACTAAAATACAAAATCTTAGAACCATGAACAATCTTATAGAAAAAAACTAGGAATTGTTTTCTGGTTTATTTAATTGCATATTTCATTACCAAATTAAATGGAGTACTCGTTTTATTTCAGATTTTAAATTGTCACAAGTAAGCATGTACAGGGAAAGATTAAAAGAAAGAATGAGAAGGAAAAGGATAGCAAGAGAATATGGACTCATAACAACACAAGCTGCATTAACTTCCAAACAAAAATCTCAGACTAAGGAAAAGAAAAAATATTCAAAAGAGGACAGAGAGTTCAGGGACAAAATGAGAATATTTGCTCAATTCCATACATCAGTAGAACATGAACAGTTTTTTGAAAATTTAAAAAGTAAGTATAGAAAATGTGGAAACAAAAGAAAAATGAGGTATATGCCTCTTTATAAAAACCAAAATAAGAAGAGGAACAGAAATGATTTCTTATCCTTTGGAAAGCTTTGTGAATCGTCATCCAAGTTTAGTTTTCAATTCCATTAAAGGGAAACTTGGTTCAGCATTTCTCACAGGACTGTAGTAAGTAGGTAGAAAGTGCTCAGGGGTTACCTGATGATATAAGGTAAGATATTAATGCATTGTTTAATGGAGATCTCTCTTTGGTACCAAGACTGCTTAAGTGAAACTTATAATTGTAAATGATGTTTAGTACTAACAAATCAAGATATGCAACAAGATTTTTTTCTACAATATCATTATTGATTACAAATAAAAATCCATTGTTAATGTGTTATTTTTGCTATTTTTTCTTGCAGAAGAAAAACAAATTAAATCTAGAATAAAAGAGCTGATGAGGTATAGGAAGAATGGCATTACTAAGTTATCAGGTGGGTGTTGACTCTAACCTTACCCTGTCACAAGGAAAGTAAAATAGTTTTTATGTCAGAAAGTTTGGTTGACACAGTTACATATATCTCTATGAAACAGTATATCTGTACTGTGCAGACTTTAAGTAGTTGTGTGGTTCATTAGTTATACAAGTATGGAAGGAAAGTCTCGTTTTCTTATGTAGAATGTGAAGAGTTTGATGAAGAGAGGTATAGAAGAGAAAAGAAAAAGGAAAATAAGAAGAAAATGGCAAGTACATGAAATTTTATATGTTGATAGTTATTATATATTTGATAGGACCAAGGAAGAGATTTTTCTGACTTTTGGGGTGCCAAAAATGTCATTGGCCTGGGCAGTTTCTTCCTTAAATGTCGCTCTTCCCTGAAGGATTTTATTTGATATTTCCTTGTAGCATTGCATACTCATCATATAAAATGTGAATACATTGCATTTTCCATGATAGACACACCCTTTTTATTCTTTTATCCCTTTTTAGAGCAGCTCAAACACGCCAAAGCGAACATCAATGGTTTCAAAAAAGGCAGAGTAAGTACACTTAAACTTAATATGTACTGTGAAATATTCTAGATACTATATGTGGTATGAATATATTTTAGATCTTAATACAAAGTAAAGCTGGTAGTTATTCAAATAAATAAATAAATAAACAGTTTTATTAGTCTACCCCATTGACAAATATTGTGTAAGCCTGATTTATTTTTTATTTGCAGGGAAAATCTCGGTTTACTCCTAAACGTGGAAAGAGGTGACGTAGGTTTGTATGGTTTACTTCTTATATGAAAATGCATCCTTTTTCTAAGTAATCTGTTATGATGAAGAAATCTCTAGGCAAGTCTGTGGTATTATAAACAAAATGATAATGACAATTCATGACAAAGCTAGTAAGTTTTTATAAATGTTAAAAATAGCTAAAAGCACACAGATATTTGGAAAATAATTAAATCTTCATAAATTTTTATAAAGCCTCTAGGTGTAGATTATTTAGTGTTACTTCCCAGGTAGAAAGTGTTCAATACAGGATCTCTAATTTTTACATCTAGGTAAACTAGAAGGGGAGACAAAATCTGCAGACATCTCCGTGATGCCTGGTTATGAACTGCTCACAGAGAGGGAAATGAAAGTAAGTGAAATATTATGTCACTCCTCTAATTAAAATAAAGTTTCCTGTGTTAAATGTTGCAGTTGTTGCATAAAAAGACTTTGTTCATGAACATGTATAATATTTCCAAGTTTAAAGATGTATGATGTAGCAGTGATCTAGTACCACTCGATATTTAATGTTTGAAAGCTCAGAATCTTTGAGGAGGAATGAAGTGTTCATCTGTGACCTTTAAAATAAGTAGTAAAATATAGCCTTCTTGTTACAATGCTAAATTGTGTGATTGACCAAAAACAAATATATTTTCTGACTGTCTTGTACATTTAGGAATTTTTTCATAGGCCATTGGTTATTGAATTTAATTACAGACACTTAAAAGTATCTCAAGAGGTCATATGCAGGATAAAATAAAAAAAAAGAAATTAAATCATTCTCCTTTGCATTTATTAATGCTGCATATAATTTCCTTAAATTAACATAATATTTGGCAATGTTTCACTTGATACTTCCTGGTATTCAAACATATTGGCCTGTACGTTTTAAGATGCATTTGAAGTCAAATTTTGCTATGAAACCCCACCAAATGCCATTATATTGTTTCAAATAGCATATTTTTCCCAAGGGCATCGTTTCATCTCTCTAAGAAACTAGTAGAAGTGGTTTACTTGAGTTCTAGGGAATTCATGCTCGTCTCAAATGTCACTGTTAAAGTTTTGGTGCCTTGTTATTTTGCCATTGTTTGTGATATGTTTGTTTTAACAGTTTTGCTGCCTTGTTATATTGCCACTGTTTATGATTTTTTTTAGCTGTGCAATTCCATTGGTATGAAACCAGGCAATTATGTCACAATCAAAACCTGCATTATAAAGGTAAGTGAAGTGTTGGTAGTTTGTAGAGGGAAATTTAAGTTTGATATTATATTGATTTAATATTTTCATCAAAACTTCCCTCTTTAGATAAACATGCAAGACATGCAAGACTGGAGTGAAATGATATGGTTCAAGATATTTGGAATATTTTCTAAAATTTTTAAAATTCCATCTGATTGATATTTGTATCAATATTTTAACTTGTTTAGGACTACTTGCAAAGGAGGCAAGGAGTCCCAGTGAAGATTCGCTATCCTAGTGGCTTTGACAAAACACACAGGCGAAAAATCATGAACTTTTTATCCCATAGTGGATGGATTGGAATTGAACACCTTCAACAGATTGCGTGATTATGTGAGGACATGTGTGCCAATGAGTGTTTGACACAACACGGATGAATGCTGAGAAGATGCAAGTTAATTTTTCCTGAAGAGTTCTCAGGTGTTCCTCAGATATTTTATGGATGGAGGCTTAGATACCATTTAAAACCTCGTTTCTTTTCACACTTCATTCCATTTGACATTAAATTATGCAGTCATTCAGAATTGAGGAGGAACACGTTGTAAGTTTGTGAAGTATTTATAAATATATTGCACGTGTGTAAGCTAGAATACATGTTGTGTACGATATAAGGGATTGGTTGGCACCATGTCCTTAAAACGATTATTTTATCATATCTTTTACCATTCTCGTGTCGATTAAGTAGTGTATTTAATGCGACGACCAATTAACCAAAGTATGACTATAAAGACGGATATTTCAAGTCTCTCATTTTACCCTCCAGATTATTGTCATCATAGTGTTTGATTCCCAATTACAATCATTAACAGGGCTATAATTAAGAATGCCTTTGGAAAATTAACTCATCATTTACACTTGAGCAAAAACAATTATCTCTTAGTTGAATGGAAATAGTTGTTTTCATTCTATTGAGAATGCATGGAGTATGGTGCACATACAAAATATTTGTTTCACTTTGCTTGTATATTTATCTCTGGTGTATATATGGGTTTGACCAGGGCATGAAATATTTCAAGAAATCATTGAACGTTTTCAATTGCATTGTAACTACCTGAATCAGGTGCTTTCCTCTGGGCTTCTTTGACCATAAACGTTCTTTTGTAGATGTATACTTTTTTGAATAAAGAAAATGGTATGTACGGAACCAGATTATGCTATGTTTGATATAATAGATTGAGAACCTCTCAGTATGGTGAACAGCATTAGATTTGAAAAAGGACAAGGACATATTCATCAGTATTAACATACATAAGTAGATTGAAGCACTCAGTAGAAGGTTCCATTATGAAAAACAAAAAGTCAAAGGATTTTTTAAAAAATATGCTTATTAAGCAATAAATGGACTGGCCCTTTGCATAGGCATTGAAATGTACAGTTCTTCTTTTGTTCTTATAATAGAGCTAATCATCTGCGTGTGCAATTATAGTTGCATACCTTAGTTTTTAGCATAGCCTTCTGAGCGTGCAGGGATTTAATGTGAGCTATAAGTTTGTACTTAACTCACATCTTTCATTAGTTCATTCAGTTCACAAGCAACACAGATATTGTGTTGTGTATTAAACATGCAACATGTTAGAGGAGTGACACAAGATAATGTAGTTTGTGTTCACAGTACTTAGATTTTTTTAAAACCAGGAGTTTATAATTTTAGTACTACAATCTGTCGAAACAAAACCTAATTTATTGCAATATTTATAATTTATTGTGGACAGATTGTTTATTTCAGTCATTTTTTATACATAGTGCAATGTTACTTGTACTTTCTGTAAAGTAGACATGAGAAATGTCAAATAAAGAATTAAAATTACCTTATTGTTAATTTTAATCCAGTCTTAGACAACCTAGAGTACTTGAGTGTTATTGGCCTATTGGTGCTGTGTTCATAAGGATATGCTGCATGTAGAACGTGTTATAGAGATGGGAACTTTTGGTAAACCGCCAACATGAAAACATTGAGGAATCTAGATTCAATTTTTGTTATATTTTAATATGTAAGACTGTTTTACATATGTTCATATTTATAATTGCAATAAATCTCAGAATTTTTCTTAAAAATAATTGCAGAAGCAAAATTGAATTAAAAGTATTCTAATTTTTTCTCTATTAAATAATGGCACTGCATTGAAACATTAGTTGTTAGATTGTAATTAGTCAGTGATCACCCTCTGGTAGGTTCTCTCTCATTCATAAAGACAAATATATCATAAACATGCCACATGTTCAGGAACGTAGTAGTTATTTAGTAAGCAATTGGACATCTTGAAGGCTTAAAAAAGTAATAGTACTTTCCCATAATGACATAGTAGATGTGATTTTCATTATCACATTTCTTTATTCTTTTCTTCTTGGGAACAATGCTTAAACGTTAAATTTTGAGTTAGCAATTTCTGCAAATAACTGACTGAAAAGTTTTTAAATTATAGCAAGCTACTTAGCAAGAAAAGCGGCTTTACAAGTAACATTTATTTAATTCAGCTGAAAAGAAAATTATGGCTAAGGTCATACTTCATGTGAAACACTGAACAGAACAGCCAAGGACTGGTTTATCTGGTTAAGTAAATACAGTACTTTTGTAAATGGTAATGTAAAAACATTTGGCAATTGCTAGAGACTTAGTAGTACACATCCTTTCATCTGTATATAAAAGACAACTGTCATTGCCCTTTTACTACGAAATACTAAAACACACAGAACTATCACATTCATTTCATACTAAATTGCAACTAAGCATTCTGTACCCAATTAGTATCACTTGTCTGAAAAACAGCTTTACAAAAGTGTAAAATACAAATTGCTTACATAAAACAAGCACCTTTGAAGCTCATTTCAATTGCAAATTGGAATGGACAGAAACAATTGCATGCATACTTGTAAGTTTCCTAATTTGAACCCCTCAAAAGCTAATGCTGCCATTTGTAATTTCCAAGTTAGCCAAAAAGCTACCTTTATTAATCATAAACAACTTGGGCTTCATATCATCTTACAATTTGATAACTTTGTTATTTTCTTCATAATTTGGTAAATTATAAATTTTGTCATTGCCCATTTATAATTTTATCAAATTGAAAAATATACGTTGGGAATGCTACTCTTCAATGGCATAGGCACTACTAAACGCTGCTGATAAGGCTCTTCTTTTTATCGGTCAAAAAATAAATAAATACTCCACAGCTTATTGACCGTGAAAAAATACTGTATGTAAAGCGTATGTCTTAGTTTACATTGATTCATAGATAAATCTATGATTATTGTCAACCATTATAGTTGTTCAATGGCATCCCTAAACTTGTGGCTATCTATGAACTATTGAAACACAAGACTGTTGCATGCATTTTTCCAAAAAAGTTCACTATACATGATCATACTGATTGACCCTAACAAAGTAAGACAAATAGGTACATTAGAAATTAAACAAGTTAAAATTTTCATGCGAAATAAGGCAAAAAACCATACATTTGCGCACATGATGTTCTACAATGTATATTTTAAGGCAAAATGTGCCACACTTAGCTGTAATTGGGATCATCAGAAAAAATGCATGACATAGTCTGAAATTCACAGGAGAATGAGGCACTGATATTGAGATTGGAATCTTAAGTCTAGTCTTAATTGGATATCCAAGCTACAGGTGACCTCAAGTGCACTAGAAACTAGACCTGTCCAGTACTTGGTTCAACTGGTTGAGAATATGTGGGTTTTACTGCTTTTAAGCACATAAAAATTGGACAGTGTCTGCACATCTAGCTAGTTTGCAAAAACAGTTTTTTCTTGATTAATCAAATAATCTGGCAACATCAAAATACTTTCCCAAAATTTTCCATGCTGTTCACCTGTCCCAACAAATCCGGCTTTCATATCTGCAAATTTTCATAAGTCATCTGGCTGGTTTCAAAAATTTCAACCATTCTTTGAGGAAATGGCCAACCAAATGACTGCTGGATAACTCATTGGGAAAATCAATGATTCAGGATCTAATTACTCCTCGGTGGGGGGGACTTCATAAGATTCAAACATATCATCCCTTTCTATGATTTCATCCTCCTGAGGTAGGTCTTTCCCCAGCTCCTCAGTCATAAGAATGTAGTTCTTCATAGAATTTGGCACAGGAAGGTCATCTATCTTACTAAAAGGACGCACACCCAATGCTTTCCGAATGGCACCGCGGCAGAGATCCTTGAGCGGCCTTGCCTCTGTCATGGCATCCCTGAGGATCTGCACCATTTCTTCGTTGACTCTTTGGTTAAACATGCTGTTGGGTCCGAAGCCTATGGTCAAAACATCATGGACGGCATGGATGAGGTTGTATGGCAACTGATGATAGCATTGGAGCAGGAGTTTCATCAGTCTCACGTCCTGAAACTTGCAGATTACAAAGATGGGTTGGAGTTCAGCATGGGGGTGACGGTCACGGTGTTGAATACAACACTTCATGATTACATAAGAGATATTCTCACAGGCTCTGAGATTGCAGCCCCACCATAAAAGCAGGCGGAGGATACGGAAGTTCCCTTCTTCTACAGCCACTTGGACAGGGGTGATTCCACTGCCATTGACCTATAAGAGAATTTACAATTAATCTAAAGCTGGAGAGGATTTCATCTGAAGTTTTTGAAAGTACAGCTGCTACAATCATCACCATACAGCCACTGCAGTAACTATACTCTTGACCAATTTGTTTGAAAACAACAAAGACCAAATGAGTTATATTTGCCATAAAAAATATTTTCAGCATTTTTATTTAAAACCCTTAAATTAATACGATGATATCAAACTAAGTTGTCCATTTACTAAACAATGTTACACTCTGTGGCTTACATTGTCAATGTTACATCCTGCCTCCAGTAGAGTAGTGGTCATCTTCTCATACCCTCTCTTCACTGCATTGTGAAGTGGAGTGAACACATAACCTGCGTCTTTATCACAGCCTGGGTGATGAAGTAACTGCACAGCTATCCTAGCATTACCTCTGTCCACAGCCTCCCCCAGTGCAGTGGTGCCTTCATTGTTCACAGATTTACATCAGCACCTGGAGATAAGAACATGTTATGCAAGCCATTAATAGGTGTGTTGAAGAAGTTTCATGAGCTGTGTAATTTCAATAGAATTGTGGAAGCTCTTTTGTAAGAATGTCAGTTTATTTCCCAAGCAAGTGACAAAGGAACAACTACAATGATATTCTAATTCAATAGTTGCAGTACTCCTGCTATTTCTCCCTCTCTATCTCTCTCTGTGGCAAAAATGAAGTAAAATTAGTACAACCTAGATTAAAATTGCTCAGAGTTTACAACAGATGGCTTGTGAAATGCTAAAATAAATACGTAAGCAAAACCTTTTTTGTATGAAAGCTTACTGGCCAAATCCTTAAACATTTTCTATGTTATAGAAAAAAATCTGTATGAATACTCATTAGTCAATCCTTTAAAATATAGTCAGTTTTATCCTTATTTGAAAAGCTGTTTTAAAATAATTTTTTTTTTGTATTTTGTTTTTTAAGGTTGTATTATTATCTATAGCGTTTCCATTTACTATTTATGGGCTCATCTATCTCAGAAAAACAATTTACCTGCATCCAGAAGAGCCTGGAAAGCCTCTTTGTAATCCAGTCTGGCAGCAGCAAACAGAGGGGATTCCCTATGTTCACTCTCCTGGATATTCAGAGAACTCCCAGCTGCCAGTAAAGCCTCAATGATCTGAAACAAGGTGATGTCGTAGATAATAATTTATTCAGGTACAAAAAAGTTTTAAATCCAAATCTTTTTTTCTTGTTAAAGTTTGAAGAAATTCTAAAACTTCAGTCCTTCCCCCCGAACATAATATCAGGCATCATATAAAAAATATCTGAAATATGTTTAAGCTCAACTTGTGCAGCACCATTATCACTCCCTCACCCTACTACTGGTGATGGAATATTACCTTGTTATCTCAATACAACAATTCAACTACCTTTTCAAACATGGCTTTCCCTTTGCCTGCTCCTGCCTCATTTACAATCCATTGTTAAACATTTTTAAAATCAATTATTTTTAAAATAAATTAAATTAAAAATATCAATAAAACTCAAAAAGAAATGCCAAAGTTACCTTGATGTCTGCCCTGTGAGAGATAGCTGTATACAGAGGTAGCATGTTCCTGTTGTTGGTGACATTCACACTGCAGCCTGGCAGGTAAACAATACAAATGTAGGTAAATATTGTTGCATTCAACGTAATAAGGCAACAGATGGCAAACTTTTTTCCTCAAATACAAAAAAAAAGATTGCACAAAATACCTTTCATTGGCACAGATGTACTTAAATTTCTAAGACAAAAAGTAAAAGACAGAATGGTTGCTCTTAAATATTGGTATTATAAATTTCTTCCAACATCAATAACTTCAGGGATGAGCCATTGGAAAAAGTCTGAAATTATGGCATGGGGCCCTCTGCACTGATCTCAAAAATTATATTTTTGGCTCCCAAAAAGTCTGAAATCTGCAGATGCTCAAAAAAAATCTGTAACTTTATAAATAAAAAAATCAAATTTCTTTCATTTGCATAATGACAAATAGATTTGGTTGATATGTGAAAATAGTAAAACGGGTCCCTTCACATGCCATCAAACAAATATCACCCACATGAATAAATGTTACCTGCTTGAATAAATGTCTTCACCAGTTCACAACTGTTTCCAGACACTGCAGCATGCATCACAGAATCTCCGAGGTCTGTTACCAAATTTACATCTGCTTTCCGTTGTAACAGTTTGAAACACAGATCTATAAATGTAAAAAAAGAAAGAAAAAAATCACTACATCAGGTCTTCATAGCTAGGAACAATATTTGCCATCTGGGCTGACTCAGTATCACTTTTGCTACAGAGAAACAGCTGAACTTTCAGAAATAATATAAACATAAATCGAATGCAAGAAGACAAAAGTTAATTATATTAATTTGATAATAAAATATTTTTGTCATCAATCAAAAATTTTGCTGTGATAGTGAAACCAGGAAATAAGTGCTTCAAAACCCAAATCAAGATCTTGCTCACAGTCTGTATTTAACCATGTATTTACCAATCCCATGTCTTTATGGCCACATTTTCAAATATTTGTTAACGCAAGCCCACTACTTACCTACATCTCCAGCTAAAGCACTTTGATATAGGGGAGTCCAGCCCTGGCCATCTTGAGCATTGATATTACAGCCAGCATCCAGCAAGAGCTCCACAGTAGCACCATCTGTACCAAAATACTGAGTGGCTGAAAGTGGAGAAGTAATATCTTGGTTACTGTGAAGAAATTGGGTGACATACTTAATAGAATCTGACATATATACTATTTGAAAAACACATTTCAAATGTTTTCAAATCAGCCTGGTGCATTAGCAAGATTTGCAATTTACTGGAAAGAATTACAACTGATAAATTATTGCATGGCTTGAATATCTTTATTTATGAATTTTATCTTTTAATTTGCTCGATGCATGAAGATTTAAGTGGAAAGCACCATACAAGAATAAATTATTTTTATTATAATGGGTTAACAGTTACAATAATTGAGAGGTGGTCAGCATTCCTCTTTTTTACTATGAAATGTTTATTCATTTTCTACTTGAAGTTTGGCCTTCCAAGTTGATATATTAGACAACACTAGGAAGATGTGAAACATTGTGGGGCAGTGCTATCCACATTTGATTGCCAAAACCTGTACTAGTAACTGGAGGGGGAGTGGGGTTCCTGAATTTCACTTTTTACCAACATTGAGAAAAGAAAGTCTCATTCTTCTCTGATTACATACTATAGGCATGCTTGCTTCCTTTTTATTTACTTAATATCAAACATTATCTGAAAATGTTCAACAATGCCGTCATTTGCAATTTACCTTTAAAAATAATAATTTTCATTTTAAGACTTAAAATTACATTAAATCACATTCCTTCAATTAATGCATTTAATCATGTCCTCAGAAAGCATACATATCTTCAGAGGATACTTCACAGGACAGATAAGAGTCTTTTTTTAAAACATGTACAGAAAGTAAAAGGTTTCAGAGCACCCAGTTAAAATTTCATCAAAAATTCTGCTCTCACCCTGTCTCACTGCAGCATGAATAGGAGCTTGTTTATAGACATCAGCCAAGTCTACATCACAGCCAGCTTGTACTAGAGCATCAGATACTGCATATTGATTGTTACGGACAGCAACTAAAATAAAAAAGATTTATTCAACATTTGGCTTGGGAAACCTGGTACATTGCTAAAGTACAGAAACACTTCATACTTTTTGATTACCTAATTTTTGATTCAAACAAAATTCTGACATATGTCAATGTTCTAAGGGAACCTTCCTTATATCATAATGGAGACATGGTACTTTTTTGCTTATTTTCGCTTGTTTGATTTCTGATCCACACAAAACAGTGACAGTGTTACACAAAATCACAAGTCAGACCTTTTGAATGAAAAGAAACAATTTTGATAACTTCTAAGCACATTTAAAGGGATAACAAATCTTCACATGAAATTCAAAATTCCACAATAAATACATTGAAAACAACTCACAGAAATATAATAAATTCCATTTTACCACCAAAATGGCTGTTATCACACAATAATGCTGAAATCTTTGTTTGCCATCAGACCACAAGGACCTTCTTAAATAGCTACCCTCCATAAGAAAACACTTAAAAAAACAATCAACTAACTTTGAATGTCGGCATGAATTCATTTATCATTAGTAAGTAGTATGGGAACATCCTCGTTTACCCAACGAAAATTAGTTTTATGGCACTTTTCCTGCCAAAATGAAGACTTCTTATCCCTTTAATTACATTCCTCTAATAAAAAATTAACAGACACTTATTATATAGTTCCAGAGGATCCATGGCATGTCAATCATGCCAGACCATATCTATCAACATTACAAGACTCACATAGAAGAGGCGTCTCTTTCTTGGCTGTCAAAACATCTAAATTTGCACCTCCTAGAATAAGTTCCTCCACAACTTTCACATGTCCTGCAACTGCTGCCTCATGGAGAGCTGAGCATTTGTATTTGTCCAGTAAATTTGTTTCACACCCTAGAACAAAGTTTATTTACAATATATGTTTTCCATGTTGAGATACTCTGTATTGTAAGTTTGTAACCATGTGGCTTCGTAAGTCTTGTTTTACACAAATCTCTGCACCAAGTTCTCACAGACCAAAAGTTATGTCTTTCAATTTTGCTAGATAAATATCAAAGTAAAGTATGGTTGAAAAACTTGCAATTATATAATAAATTATAAGGAACAATCTAAACCCCAATCTAGCCTCTGCTGGCAACAAGTTATGTAACTATCTATCCTTTACAAATTACAATACTTAACCAAGCGAAGAATGACCAACATGTACCTGCTTTAATCAACATCTTCACAACCTCGCTGTACCCTTTGGAAGCAGCTATTATGAGTGGAGTTTTCTTTTCATTATCAGCCTGGTTGAGATCGCATCCTCCCCTGATCAGGACATCTGTGACAGGAATATGTCCCATACGAGCAGCAGTGAACAGAGGGGACTGTGACCTGTTGTTCAGGCGTAGCAAATTACAGTTGGCTTTGACGAGCAGTTTTGCAATACCAGCAAATCCTTTGAAAGCACACGTGTTGATAGGGGTAGCACCATCATTGTTGGCCGTGTCCACATCAGCATTATTGTTGATCAGCAGCTTGGCTATGTTATCATACCCTTTCCAACATACCATATTGAGGAGTGTATTGCCATCTGCATTGTGATGGTTGACATCAGCTCCATGGCTTATCAGAAGTTTACAAGACTCCAAGTGACCACTGAGTACTGCCACTTGTAAAAGAGTCTGACTTCTGTATTGGAAGTTCACATCCACGTCTTCAGTTAATAGTTTCCGGATCTCTGATATATCATTTTTTGCCACTGCATCTTGGAGAAGGCGGATGACTCGACGTTTAGCACGTTTTTCAATGTGGTCCCCTGGAACATACTCTTAACATGTAATACACAAGTATGTAGAAAAACAGACTTTTTTCTTGCAATACTTCATAAAGACCATTCCACAATAAAATGAAAACAAAATAAAAGAATGAAAGAGAATTTAATTAAGGAAAAAGTTTGTTCAAAAATGCTGCCACTAGAAATCAAATTGTTTCTGAAGGTCAATTATAAGCAGTCCTGCAGTCCTTTCTTTAGCAAGATGTCCACATAAAAGATCTGTACAAGCGGGATATACATATTTCTATCTCTGGGGTTAGACTCCATTATGGACATCAGGTCCACACTTGCCTAGCATGTAAAGCTTCTACTAAATTATTTATACACACAAAATTCAAAATGATAAACAATGCAACTGTGAAATGAAAATATACTTCACTTAACATTAACAAAACGACATGATTTTACTGTCTGCATGGGAATTGAGTGGCAGGATTACTCATGCGCCATTAACATTAGGATTATTACATTAGATCGTCTATAACTTGGAAGTGGAAGGCAAAGTAAGGGCAGCACCCTATGAAATTGTTCTTTTACTAAGTTGTTATTTCTCAAGGGTGTCACACATAGACTAAGAGTAAGGTTTTTATGTAAAACTACCACACCTGAGGCCCAGTTTAGAACCTTATTACCTCTTTCTCTATTCCTGTGTAATGGACTTGCCATGGCCCGGGGAATGGCCTTCACCTGACCTTGCTCAATCAAGAGAACCTCAAATTGAAGTTGAGATGATTCTGCAAGGGAAAACTGTTAAATTTGAGATGAAATCAAAATATAGACATTTTCATTCTACGCATTTTAGCGAGTAATTAAATTTTGTGCGACACTTTTATCATTATTAGCGTTAACCATTCTACTTCTATGCGTTAACTCAGTAGAGCAGCTACCACAATCTGCTCAATCACAGTATGTTAATGTAGGATTACGAGAATGATTTGCACTTTGGTTTGGGACTTGCACTGTTGCAGCTAACACAATCAAAAGCTGCATTCAGAACCACTAAAAAGCTTGCCGTCTAATCTGCTAATAGACACTGAATAGATTCCCCGTGAGGAAGTAGGCCTACTCAAGTGGGTCGGCCATATTTGAGCCTCAGACTATTTAGTCCACTGTTCTGAATGCGGCCAAAGTATTTTCAAACTGGGTTTCTATTCAGCAGTTACCTAGCTTTGTCATCAAACTTTCTAATCGTTCAAAGTTCAAATTGGTTCTTAGTTAGTGCATTCATCATTCATCTATTTGTAGTAAGCCGGTCAGTTGTTAACGTTGATAACTATAAAATGCATAATTAAACTACAATATTACAACATTAACAATTTTACAAAAAATATATATATATTTTTTACATAAAAGTTTGAAAAATTTGCCATAAATTATATTATTTGTAATTTGACCAGAACATTGATTGATTTTAAAAAATCATTTTAGTGGAAAAAAATGCAGTGTTAACCAAGACCAAATATATGTGCATAACCACTTAATAATTTCTAAAACAGAAACAGGCAATGGCAAAACACCCTAAGGATATTGTAACCCTTTATTATCATCCAGATGACGAAAATTTGGTTTTTCCTGCATCTAATTATTCAATATCTATCTTTGTGCTGATCAAAAAAAAAATGAAAAACCCTCAAAAATATAAACTGTCTGAGTATATAAATATTTGCAATGTATAAGCATAGGCAACTCAAAGCTTTAATCTTTAATTTAACACCTTTTATTTTAAGGACAAAATAACAATCGGTATGTGGCGTTACTTCATTCCTGAACAAGTTTTTATCACGAAAATGGCAGAGTTGACCAGGAGTGTATAGGCTACAATCCCGTGCCGTCATTTGGTTTAAATATTTTTGTTATGGAGTTATGAGCCCTTAATTACAGATTTCCATCAAACAAAGGCATTATTTTGCGTTATCAATTGCATTGCTTGCAGGGTTTTGGAGTACTGCTAAATGGTGTCATTAAATCGGCGTTGAAACTGTGATCGTGGGTGCTGAGGTAAAAGAGAAATTTGAGAAACCGATTTTTCAGTTTTTAACCCCAAATCGCAATTATGTAAGATGACATGTGTACATGTTAATTAAGTTGGTCACTGTACATTGAAGTTTTATTTATCACTCAAAAGAATGTATGTAAGGCAGCAAATAAGGAGTTTGGGGCGAAGGGTGACAATATCCTTAATTGTCTGACTATTCAGGATACAAGGCAGTACACGCGTGTTTTATAGTTGCAGTATGGGTGCACTGTGGTATATTTTGCATGCATATACTTCTCATACATTATTTTCTACATGCTTGTATATCATTGGATGTTACAAATCTCTCAACTTGGAGACAAATTTAACTCAACCAATAGCTGACAACTTGTGCACTGCATGCAGTTGTGCAGTTGACTGCTGTGACGTATGAAAATGTTCTTCTATTGGATAACCGAAAATAGTGATGACAAATATTCACAAATGTTAGGTAGATCTTGCAGGGTGTAAGGTAAAAGCATATCACAAGGCACAGCTTCACTTGATAGCTAAGGTGTGTCAAGACCAGCGCAATTTCTGTAAATTACAGCAAAAACTAGCTAGGAGATTGCAGAGAAAACCATGCTAGATAGTTATAACAGGACGTATCTGGAATCTTTTGAAGATTTTTCTCTCATCAATGAGTCAGGGTTCCAGACTGAAGATCTACAGAACAACACAGAAACTTTGTCATTTAAAAGGGTCCCAGTTTCACTCCGTGTTGTTATTCTCACACTGAAGGGAATCTTTGTCATTTTGGGAGCCGTTGGCAACACATCCATTGTCGCAGCCATACTGCAAATCCCAAAGTTCCACAAGACTGCCTACTACATCCTCATCTGCAGTCTCACCTTCAACAACTCCATGGTATCCTTCCTGGAGACATTTCCACAATTTCTGGCATTTTCGATCCCATACTTGGACATAGGACAGAGACTCTGTACCTTCTCCTTCTACGTCAAGCTGCCCCTGCTCACGGTGTCTGCTTTGCTGTTGGCTCTTATTGGATTTCAGCGCTGTATCATTATTTCCAGCAAACCAGGCAATGCAGTGGCGAATAAATTAAAATCATCAAAATGTATAGGGGGACTAATTGCTTTGGCTTGGTTTCTACCCTTGCTTTTCATAATTAAAACATTTTTTGTGTGCAGGCGCAAGGTTATACGTTATATCCCAGAAAGCTTGTTATGCATGTATGACAACGGAAAAAACCACTGTAATTCAATGGCTTTCTTTATGGTTTTATATGTGACTGCATCTCTCATCATGTTGGTTTGTGATGGTATAATTATCTATAAGATGAAAAAATTGAAGGGAAAAGTTGCTCCAGCGCAGGATCCTACGACTTCCCCAGAGAACTTGCCATCGCAGCAGCAGCAGCAGCAGTCGTATCTTGCTAAAACCGAACTTCAGCTAACCAAGACCATGCTTCTCTTAATGCTGAACAGCTTTGTCTGCAACCTTACTCCAAGTCTTGTGTTGAACCTCATATCCATAGGCCCGGAAGCACATATTGTTGCTTCGTTACTTTTCCAGCTCTCACGCACAATGGATGCCATCATTTTGTATGGCAAAAACACGGCACTCAGAAAAGCAATTCAAAAAATGTATAAATCTTGTTTCTGCAAAGCATTACCGACTTAATTTTTAAATTAAAAATAAGCCTGATAGGTAGTGATGAAGAGCACTGGCAATGTGAAACTTTTTGTGATGAAATCAAGTTTAATCAAAATTTTACTAACTGATTAACGTGTATTAATGTTTAGATTCAATATGTCATTTAATATTTACATCACATTTAACTAAACAGGTGGATATTGTACTACTTTTCTCTTTTAATGTTTTATTTGTTTAATAATCTTTTTATATTAATGTAAAATAAGTTCTGTGCAGAGCCTGTAAAACATGCTGGAGATGGAATCTGGAATCTGTAGAACATTTAAGTGTTAAAAAATCTGGAATCAGTAGGACATTTAAGTGTTAAAAAATATATGCTATATGTCGCATATTAATTAACAATCTTTATTCAATCACTAGTAATTATTCTAAGATTTCCGTCAGCGCTTCATTAGTGTAGCTTAATTGTCCAATTTCCATTTAGCACCTGGATACTGAAAAACATGCAATAAGTCAAGTGCAATGTCGGATTGGTCCAATATTGGCGGTCCTGAAGACTTACGTACGATATCCAAAATCCATCTCGCACAGAGTGCGCGACTGTGCAGCTCTAATTGATTCTCCTATTATCTCAATGAAACCCCGTAAATGTGACCGCGATGCGTCCCAAGCCAACTGTACTGTTCGTTATCTTGCAACTTGGGCCGCACGTGTAGTGCTCAGGTAAAGGTACAGTAGGGCAATATCGCTAAAACCCCCTTTACACTAGACGGCGTCCTTTCTGCGTCCCTTCTGCGATCAAAAATGTGGTCAGGACGCTCAATGGTCGCCAAAGCAATTAAATTGTGTCTCAGTGTAAAGGCGTCTGCGTCCGTTGTGTGTCCTTTGAACGACCGAATCTTAATTTTACCTGTAAAACTGCCAGCGACCTGTGCGTCCACTGAGCGACCGGCCTGCCTCCACTGTGCGTCCCCTGTGCAACTCGCGGCGTCCATTGCGATGTTTGAGCGACCACTGAGCATCCTTCCTGCGTTTTCTGTACCTTCATCGGCGATCAGTAGCGTCCATTCTACGATCTTTCTGCATCATGCTTCACCGATGAGCGTTGTTTGAGCGTCCTTCGATATATTCTAACTCACTTATATTTTTTCCTCGGTTCTAACCAGGAAAACAAAACCAATAATTGGGAATAAACTTTTTAAACTACAGTGATACATGGACTGATAATAAGCCAGATGCTCATTGTTATCCTTATAAGAAGGATGGACCTTGCGCCAAAAACGAGAAAGTATGACCGATACAACCTAGAATGTTAAAATCCGTTTTCAAATGACGCATTCTGCAAAAAGTTCCGACAAATACTGCATCTTGTAAAAAAGGCAAAATATTCGTTTTATAATTACCTCCAAAAAATGGATCGGTTCAAGAATTTTAGGAAAAAAAAAAAAAGAAAAACAATCGGATGCTGATATGAGACCACTGTTGCCCTTAGAATTCCTGTCTGATGAAAAATACCTCAGCACGGCCCCATTTGAGAGTAAAAAATAATATTCTACGTGCCGAACGCTGGACGATCTTTGAGCGTTCATTCTGCAACCAAAGCGATGCTTGCGCCGCCTTTCTACAACCACGTCCGATGTTTGTGCGTCCTCTCTGCGTCCATAGAGCGACCTTGCAGCGTCCATCCTCCATCGCGTTCTCTCTGCGATTGTTTTGAACATGCTCAAAACTTCGCGGCGACCATGGCGTTCTCGGCGATGCTCGAATTTTGTGCGGTCTTAGCGATCACCGTGCGTTCTTTGAGCGTCCGACAGCGTCCTGGTCAGTTTCATGGTTGCACAAAGAACGCAGAAAGGACGCCTTCCAGTGTAAAGGGGGTTTAACTGCTAGATTTGTATGAGCCCAAAAATAGCTCGATGGCCGATTTTCACGAAAATCACGATCGTGCAAAATGTATGGAATTACTAGTCGAAATTCATGCGCCCAAAAACCCAGATGACCAATTTTAAGTTCGAAGTTTACGAATCGTTTGAAATTCACTGCATCTTTCCGTTACTTGCTGTATATTTCACATGTGAAA